TTCGATCCGCGGAATTCTCCATTTGTTCCTTGTGGATACATTGATATAGGTCACTTACCAGAAACTTTAAACAGTATAGTACTTCAGGATATTAAAAGAAGCGATATAAGATATGAAATAAATGATGATAATTCATATAATGAAATAGGAAGAGGAAGTTTTGGTGTAGTATATCTTGCCAGTATGAAAAACATAAAACATAAAGTGGTCATCAAAGAATTTCATCATCATGGTGTAAGCTGGGAAGATATCGAACTAGAAGCTCAGATATTATCATACCTTAAAGGACAAGATATAACACCCAATTTTCTTGGTGTTTTAACACCACGTAAAAAGTCTAGAAATTACAGTCTAGTTCAAGAATATTACGGTCATGGTAATGTAGAAGATATTTATCTGGAATATGATTTGCCACCAGATGCTTGGATTATTATTTGTAAAAATATTTGTAAAAGTTTATTCCAAATTCATTGTAATCATATTCTATTCAATGATTTAAAATCAGATAATATTTTAGTTGACTTAAATACTTTGGACATTCGATTTATTGATTTTGGCATGGCAACATTCAGGAAAGGTATGCGATTTGAAGGCTGTTCGGGAAGTCTAGGAGAGTGTCTATTCTATGCACCGGAAGTGAGAGAAGGATGTTTCTCTACACCTCAATCAGATATTTATAGTCTTGGTTTTTTATTTAAACAAATCATAAAACGTGCTAATGTATATCAATTATTTCCATTATATAATTCTTGTACAAAAATTCAAGCGATTGATAGACCGACTCTACCAGAAATAATGGTAATACTTGATACATTATAGATACTGGAACTATTGTAAATACTTGATACATTATAGATACTGAAAACATTGTAAATACTTGATACATTATAGATACTGAAAACATTGTAAATACTTGATACATTATAGATACTGAAAACATTGTAAATACTTGATACATTATAGATACTGAAAACATTATAAATACTTGATATATTGTAAATATCTGCTGATAATTTGAAATTATTTTATCTTATCTCAGGATTGTAAGTATCTGATAATATGTAAATATCTGATAATTTGTAAATATCTGATAATTTGTAAATATCTGATAATTTGTAAATATATGATAATTTGTAAATATCTAATAATTTGTAAATATCTGATAATTTGTAAATATTATCTGGTAATATGTAAATAGCTGATAATTTGTAAATTTCTGATAATTTCGCCAGACAGGGTATGCTTACTCTTCTAGACACCTGATATCACTTTTCATTATGAAATACTTCCTCACTCATGATTGATATACTTCCTCATTTGAAAAGTTCATTAGCTGCTACCAATGTTTCGCCAAAAAGGTTGATATGGATTTCGGGTTTCGTTTTGCGGTTCGGATCGTTAGTACTTGGTTTGTTTATTGTAAATATCTGATAATTTGTAAATATCTGAAACATTGTCTATATTTGATAAATTGTAAATATTTCATACATTGGATAAGGACAGTGTAAATTTAGATCAAATATAATTTTAATCATAAATTGACTATCTAGTAATATTTATCTGAAAACATCACTGACATGAGACATGTATTATATTGTAAATATAAATATATATGATATGTAATATAATAAATGTCTCTTGACTTAATTAAGTCAATTTACTAGAATAAAGAAATGTAAATGTATAAAGTGTTTTTGTAAATAAATATCTCTATTGAAATGAATTTACTTTACTAATAGGATAACCTGTCTTTCTGACACCCATATTCGACAAATCCAACCAATTAACAGACTGCAAGAAACATTGGAATTTTCAGGAACATTGTGAAGTCTGTCTCTAAGCTTATAAGAATATAAGTATCTAGACTTGTTTATAATAATATCGTATAAAATGAATGAATGAACGAATACTTCTTAAACGAGCTCTGTAAAGTTTTAACATTTTAGCATCAGTAAACAAGGAGGGGGTTTAGAATACAGTCTCCCTCATCGGGTCTCATTGTGGTTCATTTGGAACACGGACCACAACATGATCTTACAACAACTTCTTGATCAGACATTTTCTAGCTTTTACTATATATAGGTAAATCAGTTGATTCTAAAGTATTTATCAAACACAGCCTTAAAGGTAATATATCCATAAGACAAAGAATACAATAAGTAGGATAATATTTAAACATGTTTAGAAGCGTGTTTAAATAATTATTTAATTTGGATATTTTGTCTTATATAGAGATTCTGTTCTTTAGTCATTCGTTAATGTCTATTTGTTACATTTGCTACAATTTTTATCGCATTATACAGAGCCGTATATAGAGAGAGTCTGGCCAACTTGTGATCTCGCCGCGCTGAACTATGATTGGCGCAGAGTGGTCACGTGATTGAAGGCCGCCATATTGTTACCCTTCCCGCGACGTTTAGGCGTAGGAGCCTGGGTATTCTTTACGTTGTTTAAGCCTAATTCCTGGTCTTGTCTGGCAACAGAATGCCTCGATGTGTGGCATAGAAATGCTCTGTCGAATCAGGAGAAGGTATAGTGATGCACAGGTTCCCTAAGGATAAAAGGAGACGCAGAGAATGGGAAGTAAAGGTCAAACGATCCGACTGGACTCCCCACGACAACTCTTTTCTATGCGACGTAAGTACATTCGATAATTTCAGGGGTTTTGCAAATTGTGTTATGTTCAGGTCTAAAAACTGGATATAATAGATATGGAAACTTTGTGAGAGGGTTTCTTTCCACGCACTGGCTATCTAAGCCTAGGCCTAGACGAGGAGCATGCACTATGGCTTCTGAGACACTGTCAGTGTCAACAACATTTCTGATAGGCCTACACTTAATCGATCGATTTATGTTTTTCTTTAAATGTGAAATTCTAAGACTATTTACTTATTTAGTATTTAGTATTATTTACTTCCAATCACCAAAACAAACAGTATAATTTAAAGGTGTGCGCCATATTGGTGCTTGTACGGTGAGGCAATGGGCCATGGCTCCTAATTCTAATATTTGTGCTGGTCCTGATTTTCAACTCAAAACCCCTCCACCACCACCCTTCTCCCTATCAATATCATTGATTTCCTAAATGCCTATCAGTATTACTCCACCCCCTTTAGAGATCAAACGAAACGCCACCATTGTTTATGTTATTTCATTATTGACATTCGCAGAAAAATATGGAAGGGCAATGTAGACTGTGGGTCTAGACTATAATGTGAACACTAAGTCTTTTGGGCCAGTCACGTGTGTAAATTTTGGTTTCTCTTCCAGAATCACTTCGACGACAGTCAAAGAGAAACAGATCGCCAGGACAACAGCCGCCAGCTGAAGCAAAATGGTTTCAAAGCTGAAATGATGATTATTGAGTGATGTGATATAACTTTCATGCCTTCATGACATATAATAAATTGTGCTGATTGAAACTGAATAATGAGCCTTTTTCTGTTCAGGCCCACAAGTAAAAGAGACAGAGGTGGGGAGTGGGGTGGGGCGGCGCCTCCCTTGAATTATTTTCGCCCCTCGCCCTAGCCTAGTGATTAGCCTATTGTTCCTTATAGCTGTAGAATATACAGCTAGGCCCTAGCTATTTTAATATGGAAGATTACAGGTTTAATATTTCGGTGATTAATATTTGGAAAGTGCTAAAATTCAAAATTTGTCTTCTTTTTGTGTTTTTGTATAGACAAACCAAATTTTATCAAAATCGGTTAAAAACTGTAAATTCTAGAGAGTTTACGAGGGATAACGTCGGCCGCCTTGTAGCTAAGAGAGGGTAACAAGATGGCGCCTTGTGACTTAATTGGCCAGACTCTCTCTATATACGGCTCTGGCATTATACATGCTTGGTATTTGTGGTCTGAAACTTAGCTAAGTCATGTCAAGAGTTATCTTTCTGTAGAACTCTTCTGTCTAATGAGAATAAAAAATTATTTTTACTGCACAAGAAATTCTTTTCTCTAAAACTTATCCAATTTTTCACGTTCAGCCTTACACAATGTAAGATTATGCCTGATTATATGAGATGAGACTCGTGTGATATAAAATATCAAAGGATTCATAATTTCTATCGCAATTTTATATGATTTTATGCTGTGTGAAAACTTTTCCTGAAATGTAAACAAAACCAGCAATGGCGCCAAATTTGAAATTATGCATAGACCCCTACAGGCCAGTTTCCCCGTCATTCTATGCATATGTGACACTATATTATAATGTTTTCACCTACTATTAATGATATTGCAATTTGTTAACAAAGCCTGGAATGTCAAACTGAAATCTGTTTTTAAGAAATTATTAAAAGAAACCCCTTACTGCTAGGTTATATGATTAGGCTAAGTGTGTCATTACATCATGATCTTAGAATCATCTACATTCTCAAGCCTTTGACTATTTTATTATTTTCAATTTATTATTTCATTGTCTGTTTTTGTACATCCTTGTTCATTTTTCAATTTTCAGCCTTTTATAGGTATGATTGCATCAAGGTACGTACCAGAGTTCAAGAATACAAGAGATGAAAATGCTGTTATGTTTAAGCTTCTTACAAATAAACCTTAACCAATCTCCCGTTTACACTCAATGTTAGGTTTCATCACGTGAACAAGGCATTACAGAAGTAACTCGTATCTGCAATCTTTCTCAGTTCTGGTGGCGATCGGTGAACTAGTAGCCTAGAAGTTCTATTTGAGTAGGTCTTCTACAAGCAGCCTAGCTGCACAGGCTGGGGTTAAGATCAAGCTTTTGACAGTGTGCTATTCGAAAACTAAACTTTGCAAAAAATACAAAAGAACCACAAGGACTGGCCAATTGATAATTAGCTTTAATCAATGATTTCAATATATCTACATGTAAGTTTATCAATAATACTGATTGTGTGTTTCATTGTGTTTGTTATTGCCGGCACCAATGTCCGTCCGCCCACAATTACTCGTAAACACTTTGCAAGACACAATTTTTGACGGATTATGACAAAATTTGGTGTGAGTGATCGGTATCACACAAGGGTTGAAACGATTGAAAACTCAACTTACTGTAAGTGTTATGGGCACCCCTCATCTCAACAACGAGTTGGGAATGACAAAATTTGATGAACCCGTAAAAAATGAAGTGTGCACGCAAAGAAACTGGTTAAACTATTGGATATCTCTCACATCTAAAATAATACGTCTCTTGTTTTACGTCTCGCATTATAATGTGATCGTATATTGTCGTCGCCCCCGTCCGTTGGTCCGTCCGTCCACAATTGGCTTGGGAAAACAATAGAGGCTACAGTTTTTATCTGATTTTAATTAAATTTAGTGTGATCATTTAAATTTATCTTGGTCGAATTTGATTTTTCGTTGAACGGTTTTTGAGTTATTGCCCTTGAATAAGGAAAAACAGTGAAATGCTGATTTCTGGTTTGATGGTTTGAAATTGTCGAAGAACTCCGCAGCTCATCCGATGTGCTGGCTGTATTCGTACAGGAATGCCAATTTTGCGTTCTGCTTTTATAGTTTGCGCTGTCCTCGCTTGATTCTATAGAGTCATCAAGATCGGCATCGATCGAAGTGAAACTCTTTTAATAGGTCGTTTCCCAGTATTATCGTTTTGAAGATGCAAATACATTTTGTCTCTGGAGTTTAGTTTGTTATTTGTTGAGATACCTACCACAAATTTCCACAATCTCTTCCATATTATACTGTTGGTTGCCTTTATTTTCTTCCGTAGATTATTTTGTAGCTAATGAACTCAAAAAAAAAAAAAAAAGGAAAAAAGAACTGGATTCTGATATCCGTTTAGAGCCAGCAACGTATCAGCCAGCAAGACAAATTCAAGATGGTAACCAGCGTGTGTTGGTGAGTTTGCAGTATTGCAGATTCGCTAGAAAAAGTGTAAACCCGGAAAAGACATGAAAATCATCGCCTTTGTTACTTGTCTTCCATACTAAGGCATACGCTTAGAACTTTTCAGCTAGCCGTCGTTCGAATAAAATTTTTGGCTACTTTTTCCTCAGATAGTTTCGAAACTTTAGGTATTTGTATGCATGTAAACAAATATTGGATCGTTAGTTCTTGGTTTATTATACAAAGGGGTGTATAGGTTTTCTGTTTACAAAAACATTTTAAAGTGTTACTACGTCTTAGGATGAACGTAAAATTTAAGTTCTCGAAATGGTCAATATGAGTATATATTCATCAGTTAGCTTACTTGGTGTCATAAAGTTACAGTTACCCTGTTAAATTGGAAAATTCATAAAACTAAGTAATTATTGAAAAACGATTAATCTTGTTATATAAGGATTCTATTATGTTATTTATGACACCAGGAATATCTACTGGCTCTTATTCACCAAGGTCTAAGACGTAGTATCATTTTAAGCAGAGATTCGATACCGAATTTGCCAGAGGGGCAGAAAGAATTGCAAAATACAATGAGAAGGGCAGAGGGGTCCCATATTTCCATCGCCTCTGATTTTTGGCAAAGGTAAAATAATAGATTTTTCGGTGAATTGAATCTGTTTACGCATATTATGAGTATAGTTTATTTGCGAAAATAGTTATATCTACAAGGTTGAAATAAAATATTTGGTTACCGTTCTACAGAATATTTTGTAATAACAACAAACCCTGAAAACTAAAGAAATGTACTGAAGAATATGGTAAATTATGGAACATTATGGCTTATTCATTATTAGAGGTCAATGGGTGTTCCCCTTTTGCTACCATGACGTTATTCTTACTTATGACGTTTTACCATTATTAACGTTATTCTATTCTTGAAACTCAGTTTTCCAGAAGTTGATAGAACGTTCTCTAGTAAAATTATCATAATTTTACTGTTTATATTGAACTATTCAACGTAGAATGATGTTAAACTCGGAAATTATGGACGTCTACTATCAGAGTAAGATTCTAAACTCTCCCAATGAAGAGAGGATGAAGAATTCTGATGGATTTCAACCAAGTTTAATTCAACAAAATCTTCAGTGCTTCAACAGCCTAAGATTAAAGGCATTAAAGGTACGTTTTGTAACATCTCTGTATAGGCTTCAAACCATTACTTCATTATCAAAGATGCACTGATAAAATGCAATGTCCATCCCATGTCAATAACCTTAAAATAATTGCTACTTACTCCCAAGCCAGTCCGGGTACAAACGGGGGTAAGGTTAATGGGAATAATGGTTTGTACCCCCAATTTTAGCGCCACTTTGTTTCTAATATTTTTCTCCTAAATATGTATCAGAATGCACACTTCAATTCTATTTTTCAAAGGTTTCATTGAGGGGGAACCCTCTCAGACGCTTCCGCCTATGGCGCTTCCACAGAACTGCTGCATAATGAATTTCAACCTCGCCCATCTGTTGTTAAATCACACCTTTTTGTACCCTCGGTCTCGGGATGCTGGTGCCGCCTTTGACCCAAGCTATTCTTCATTTCTTAAATATATTGTAAAACTGATTAATTATAATGACAACTTTGGTTTGTTTTAGGTAATGCAAAGTAATGCACTGACTCGATCTACAGTCAGTGGTTATAGTTCTGATCTGTTGCAAAATACACATCAATACAGGTTAGTGTATTATTACATGTCATCTCTTCAAGACTCTGCGATTTGGCATCCTTATTAGATGAGTGTTTAACTTTTCCCCCAACAAAAAACAACCCCCCCCCCCTAAAAAAAGATGTTATGTAATACAATGTAATATTTTAAATATATTTTAATGTTTAAGATATAACAAATACAGCTCTTCGATTTAAGGATTCTTTATTTTGCTGTTTTTCAGGATCAGCAGTAACACAGGCACGGGAGATATTCCTGGTATTTCCAAAGTAGTGCCTAAAAAAATCCGTTTTCTGATTGTCTCCTACCATTCAGAGCCAATCTGCGAACAGCTCGACACTTCAACACAAATGGTTGGTAGTGTATCTGTAACACCAAAGACTCAAACTGTGCCAAGTGAGTTTACTGAAGCTGCCACACAAACACTATCCAATCATTCTGAAGCTGCAACACAGACAAGCTACAACTGGTTACCAGTAGCTACTGAAGTGAGTGCCACTACAATTTCGACTTCAATTCAGACGTCGTCATCAGATGTAAGTGATGCTTCGAGATCTCCAGATTCAGGCCTACACGCTGTTTCAGTCAATGGAACATCAAGCCAACAACAGTTTTCTGAAGATAAAATCATGGTAAACTTCCAAAAGTTTAAAGATGCTTTGGATAGCATGCATGAATCATTGAAAGCATCTATTGAACAACTAAAACAAGATGTTGATAGATTTGCCAACTCTAGGTCAATAGAATATATTCGATCATCATCTGATTTATTTGATCCAGTTAATATTAAATACAACACTCCTCTAGATACAGAGGATTGGTATTCTGCCAAGGATGATTTTTACAGCACGTCAACCAATAACTACTCATATGACAAGTCAAATGCTGATACTCCAGAATATTTTTACTCCATCACAGATTCTTCTACTGACCTTTCAGCTACCAGTTCATATCAAACCCTTGAATCATATAATAGTGATGAATCAGAGTTTTATTCCTTCAAATCATCTTATGAATCTAACAGGTCATATAAAAGTGATAAGTCAGAATATATTTCCTTCAAATCACCCGATAAGTCTTCCACTTCATATGCACACTACTATTCGATTGATTCTGATTACGATTCCAGCTCAAATCAACATTTTTTATCACCAACTGATGCAAATGAACACAGTATTTCATTACAGCAAAATCAGGACATCATTTCATCTCATCATACCAGCGTTGATGTTCACTATGCTAACTCCAGTAACAACGATACTAGTTCGTGTGAACACGACACAATTAACAATGAAGACTATAGTAGTTTTGAAAAAGAGTTTGATATTCGGAACTTAGTTACTATAAACAGTTTTGGTCATTTTTCCCTAGATAATTCTACTATGTTATCTATGTTTGGATTCGATCCGCGGAATTCTCCATTTGTTCCTTGTGGATACATTGATATAGGTCACTTACCAGAAACTTTAAACAGTATAGTACTTCAGGATATTAAAAGAAGCGACATAAGATATGAAATAAATGATGATAATTCATATAATGAAATAGGAAGAGGAAGTTTTGGAGTTGTATATCTTGCCAGTATGAAAAACATAAAAAATAAAGTTGTCATCAAAGAATTTCATCATCATGGTGTAAGCTGGGAAGATATCGAACGAGAAGCTCAGATATTATCATACCTTAAAGGACAAGATATAACACCCAATTTTCTTGGTGTTTTAACACCACGTAAAAAGTCTAGAAATTACAGTCTAGTTCAAGAATATTACGGTCATGGTAATGTAGAAGATATTTATCTGGAATATGATTTGCCACCAGATGCTTGGATTATTATTTGTAAAAATATTTGTAAAAGTTTATTCCAAATTCATTGTAATCATATTCTATTCAATGATTTAAAATCAGATAATATTTTAGTTGACTTAAATACTTTGGACATTCGATTTATTGATTTTGGCATGGCAACATTCAGGAAAGGTATGCGATTTGAAGGCTGTTCGGGAAGTCTAGGAGAGTGTCTATTCTATGCACCGGAAGTGAGAGAAGGATGTTTCTCTACACCTCAATCAGATATTTATAGTCTTGGTTTTTTATTTAAACAAATTATAAAACGTGCTAATGTATATCAATTATTTCCATTATATAATTCTTGTACAAAAATTCAAGCTATTGATAGACCGACTCTACCAGAAATAATAGAAATACTTGATACATTATAGATACTGAAAACATTGTAAATACTTGATACATTATAGATACTGAAAACATTGTAAATACTTGATACATTATAGATACTGGAACTATTGTAAATACTGGATACATTAATACCTTGTAAATACTTGATATATTGTAAATGTCCGATAATTTGTATTTATTTGACCTTTTGTACATATCTAATAATTTGTAATTATCAGATAATTTGTAATTATTGATCTATTGTAAATATTTGATATTTTGTATCTAATTGAAATTATAAACATGGAAACATTATTTATATTAAATAAATTGTAAATATCTGATACATTGAATGAGGACAGTGTAAATTTAGATCAAATATAATTTTAATCATGAATTGACTATCTAGTAATATTTATCTGAAAACATCACTGACATGAGACATGTATTATATTGTAAATATAAATATAAATGATATATAATATAATAAATGTCTCTTGACTTAATTAAGTCAATTTACATGAATACAAAATTGTAAATGTAAATGTATAATTGTATTTGTAAATAAATTTCTCTATTGAAATGAATTTACCTTACTAATAGACGAACCTGTCGTTCTGACATATTCGACAAATGCAACCAATTAACAGACTGCAAGAAGTATTTGTATTTTCAGGAACACGGTGAATTTTGTCTCTGAGCAGATAAGAATAGTCCGTATATAGACATGCTTATAATAACATGTATGAAGAATAGATCTTAAACGAGTTCGGTTTGAAATGAAGATACAGCTCGTTCTTTGGTTGCGTTCTAAGAATCGTTCTCAGAACGGATAAATTTTGTAATGTAAAAGGGTTTAAGTTGGTTTACCATGCCAATTGCCAACAGTAGTTATATAGCTTACTATGTAGTTGGTTTACCATGCCAATTGCCAACAGTATTTATATAGCTTACTATGTAGTTGGTTTACCATGCCAATTGCCAACAGTAGTTATATAGCTTACTATGTAGTTGGTTTACCATGCCAATTGCCAACAGTAGTTATATAGCTTACTATGTAGTTGGTTTACCATGCCAATTGCCAACAGTAGTTATATAGATTACTATGTAGTTGGTTAACCATGCCAATTGCCAACAATAGTTATATAGCTTACTATGTAGTTGGTTTACCATGACAATAGTTATATAGCTTACTATGTAGTTGGTTTACCATGCCAATTGCCAACAATAGTTATATAGCTTACTATGTAGTTGGTTTACCATGCCAATTGCCAACAGTAGTTATATAGATTACTATGTAGTTGGTTTACCATGCCAATTGCCAACAATAGTTATAACTTATATAGCTTACTATGTAGTTGGTTTACCATGCCAATTGCCAACAGTAGTCATATAGCTTACTTTGTAGTTGGTTTATCATGGCAATTGCCAACAGTAGTTATATAGATTACTATGTAGTTGGTTTACCATGCCAATTGCCAACAGTAGTAATATAGATTACTATATAGTTGGTTTATCATGCCAATTGCCAACAGGAGTTATATAGATTACTATATAGTTTGTTTACCATGCCAATTGCCAACAATAGTTATATAGCTTACTATGTAGTTGGTTTACCATGCCAATTGCCAACAATAGTTATATAGCTTACTATGTAGTTGGTTTACCATGCTAATTGCCAACAGTGATTATATAGCTTACTATGTGGTTGGTTTACCGTTCCATCGGTAGTTATATGGCTTACCGTGTGGTCGGTTTACCATACCTCTTAATTATGTGGCTACTGTGTGGTTAGCTTACTCAATATGAATTTCTCTGTCAACGGTTTACCTTTTCACTAATTGTTTTCATAGTTTACTATGTTATTGGTAAACCAAGCCACTGGTAGTTATATGGCCTACTATGCGGATGGTATACCATACCAATATGACAATGTGGTTAGTTTATTATGTCACTGTAGTCTCTAAAGGGGCGTAATCCAATTGAGTCGTTTCGTTGCTATGTAATCATTCTTTCGGCGAACAAGGCCTAACATAGGGAAAATCCATTGTATTACTATTGTTTATTTATACATTTTATATATATTATCATATTGACACCGCTATGATATGAAGACGGTTTTGTTATATATCATGTCAAGAAGAAAAAGGAAAAGATAGCTTTTGGTCTATGCTTGGATAAAGAAGTAGCAAACGCCTTTCTTATCTATGAAATTGTTTTAAGAAAAGTGTTTAGTAATATGTAAGTGGGACTACTGTTCTGAAGGATATATTATGGGAGGTAATGTATATACAATCCTTTATGCTATCTTGAATATGATTGATACCTGTTAGTCAATTTAGTCTTGTTACACACTAATGATTTGAGGATTTCTCACCTAAAATTGATCCAGAATAGTTATTTTTCCTTGCACGATCCGTTAGGTTAATCCAAAGAACACCGCGGGAAACCCCCTAGAAAAGATTGTTCTATTTTCTTTGGGCCACTTGACCGAACACGTAAAGACATTTAATTTCGTCAAAGATAATATAACCATCGTCAAATTGCCACCATAATTGCAATCTGTTAAAAATAGTTATCCCTTTGAACAAACAGGTGAAAATCGTTAGATTTAGAATTTTGTTCAATTCAATTTGGGTAACACTAATGATGGCTAAATTCAATTAGGATAACACTGTAATAGAGCACCGTTCAATTTGAAAAACACTAAATCTCAATTACTGCTCAACTCAATCTAAATATTAAAATATACTTAAATTCAAATTGGATAAACTCATATTGGATAACACTAAGTTATTGCTCAAGTCATATTGGATAACACTTAGTTTTTGCTCAACTCATATTGGATAACACTAAGTTATAGCTCAACTCATAATGGATAACACTAAGTTTAGCTCAACTCATAACACTAAAATATAGCTCCAGGCCTCCAGTAAATTGATTGTGATGTATTTCGTGTTTTTCAGATATAAGTAGAATGCCGATGCCAAAAAAGGATTCTGAAATCCTCACTAGAAACTTTACATATTTAGAGAATAACATAGATGCGTCGCATTTGTTAACATTTTTGTTTCAAAGATTTATAATCAATGACGAAGATATGACACGAATCGGAAAAATTGTGAACAGAACAGCTCGAAATACAGAATTATTACAGACTTTACTCCATCGTGGTGATAGAGCTTGGAGTGCTTTTATTGCAGCTATGAGAGACAGGGGGTATACAGAAGTAGCTAATGATCTATTTCTACCAAATAATGTCAATGTTTCAAATCCCAATTTAGTGCCTTCCGTAGTTTCCCCAAGGTTAGATGGTGGGTCTGAAAATGAACTTACGCTTGCGGTATATCAGCAATCATATAGAGAGTCTGGAGAAGCAAGCGCATACACACTCAGGTCCGTTAGAACACCAGCCAATGTAGATCTTCAAGAACAGATAAACATCGTATCAGACGAGAATGAACAATTGAAGGTCACAATTGAGGAAAAAGATCAAGCTATCGCAGAAAAAGATCAAACAATCGCAGAAAAGGATGATACCATTATTAAATTAAATCAGGAAATCTGTTCTTTGAACGATAAAATTGAGCGACTGCAAACCGAAGAGAACAAGAATACCCAGAAAATTACAGAATTACGGAAAGAGGTGGCGACATTACAGGATGAAGTTAACAAGCGATTACTAAAATTAGAGAAGGGAAAGTCTCAGGTATGCGTCCTCTCGTAACCATTCTAAACGTTATCAAAGATATCTCAAACTGGGCATTGCAACTTGTGAAGGTTGTGAATAACGAAGTACGATTTAATCATAATATATGGCTCAGGAATGTTGGACAGTTCCGTCTTTATTGAACTACAACTTGACCTCGTGATAATCAGTGCAATAATATTGCTTCCACAGATTTACCACGGGACATTTTCTTAAAATCTCAATAAATCGTACGAGCTATTAAATATCATCATTGGAACCACTAGGTTGTGTATTCTGAAGGATTTCGGCATACTAGAACTCTATATAAATAAATGTAATTCCTATCCAAGTTCAATTTTAACATCATGTATATTAACATCCTTGTGTTCATGTTATTACCAATGACAATAACTTATCGGTTGGTATCAACACAGTTTCTTGATTTCAACTCATTATTGTTGCCGTAGGAATGTTATAAACAGGCTGCATACTAAATAGGGTGGGCTCAGCTAGACATTGCGACTGATCCTATCGGAGAGCAGCATGATTTTCAACACATGAGACCGGTATCTTTATAAAGTCAATTAAGATATCACGACCTTTGACCTTGACTTCAATAACTGCCTTTCTTGTATCAAGGAATACAGGATTGAATTGTAGTCCAGCAATTAAAGCCAATCAGAAGACTATAAACATTATGGCTTAGTTCCATTGAAGGATAATTATGGCTATAGTTGTAGACAGATCATTTGTCGAAGTCCATGCTTGGCTGTATTTGCTAGTGTACAATCCAATCAAATCACTTCATTTTCAACCTTCCGTAAAGGTGGCTATTGCAGTCAAGGTATAAGAAGAAGTATTAATAGCTTGACATTGACCTCTCTGGGGCAGCAGTCGAAATCTGTGACCATCCAGATGGTAGCAGTTAGTAGTAGTCTGTAAATTTCTCGATAAGTGTTTCGCTCATGTCCACTTCGACCGATTCGATGAAATACTTTGAATTGCCAGTCGACCTGAGACGTTGTTCTGAAATTACAGGCGACCCAAACGCCGAATTTTCAATAGAGCTCTATCAGATTCTAAATTAAATGAAACTAAACCTTTCGGCGATTCTAAGAACACGACTATAGACAAGAATAATAAAGATAGCTTGCCAGGCAAGGTAACATGCGCCCACTAGCAGCTATCAGAAATGATAAAACAGTCTTTAATGACTAAAGTACGAATTTTCTCTTATTAAAGAAATTTTAATATTTTGAATTCAATGATATATGTATTTACTGCCAGTTATTTATGCTGAGTAATTCCACCAAATCTGTTAAAATCAATATCAATATCCCAAATACATCAAATTATTAAATCACGCATCTCTAATATCAAGGGTAAAAAATTGTTAAGAGTGAAATTCTTGAAAATTCAAACTTGACCAAGGGCTCATCAATATAGATCCATCACATTTCATAAAAATCACATGAAATTTGTAGTCTCTATGGTGCTCATGAACAAATTTTGGAGAATTTTATCTAAGCCAAGGGCTATAAACGTTCATCGAAATATCGTCAAACTCCATCTTGACTAGGATCTCATTAATATAATATGATCACACCAAAATTTTTTAAAATTAGTTGAAAGCTGTAGTCTCTATTGTGTTCACAAACAAATTTTGACGTGTTTTTCCTAAGTCATGGGCAATAACTCAAAAACCGTTCATGGACAGATCTTCAAATTGGAAAACGACCAGGATCTCATCGATATAAATGATCACACCAGATTTCATTAAAATCAGATAAAAACTGTAGTCTCTATTGTGTTCACAAGAAATGTTCATCAACGGACCGACGGACAGAGGCGATGGCAATATACGTGCACATTTCCATGAGGGGCGTATAAAAATAAAGATCATTATCAAAGTGGAATATAAAATTTCTTTATTAAAAATGATTATAATATAGTGATACCTTATATTAACAATAATGATTGAATGATTGATTTTGTCATTATGATTTGTTTGACTTATTGTAGATTTTTAAGTCATCGCATATCAGGTGAAAACTTTTATATATTATAAATAATATATTGTGCAAGGGAATGATGATGGATAGCAAATTTATACAAATTCAACAGCTTCTATATACAAAACCAACATCATGGATCTATTGGGTTTCAATAGACTGTAATAATCAAGATATACTATTTCGTTTTAAAAGAAGGAAAAATGAATCATAAATCATAACCTAAATTTTATATATTCAAATATTAATCAATCTAAAAGATGATGAGAAATGACAGATATAAATTTCAAAATCTAAATCGAAAAGATTTATCTTCAAATCAAACAAAAGCTTCTCTTAAGAGCATTACATATGCTAATTTTTCAAAGACATATTTATAAATTAATCGGAATTTGTGATACTACTAATTATTCTAAACATATCCTACAAATATATATCATTATTCTGGGGATTTCAGGGGAAATTGTCTTTATAAAAAATAATACAAATTTATGCTATATGTTAAAATATGTTGCTAAATCTAGTCAATTCAATTGGCTACTCCAATATTCCAATAATAATTTAAGAATTTAAGTTATCCAAGACACTCTATAAAAACATATTTTGTCTTTTGACAGCAATTAAAAGCAACCCTCATCTAATATAAAAAATAATGCATAAAGCTCAAATTTAGTTTTTAAAGTTTTCAACACGTTAGCATAGATTCTAACATCTAAGCCAACTTTTTGGGGTTCCTGCAATTACTTTTGTACTCTATAATAAGCATTTTTTGGTGCAAATCGATGCTATAAGTGTCACACACCCAAAGAAACCTCTATACAATCCCATTGACTGTTGTTTTAAGCTACCTGTAGGTTCAAGCAGTATTCAACCTAACTACCTTTAATCAAATAGATAGGACTTTTACTCAAGAAACAAATAACAAGAGTAATGGAATAAGGGCGTTCAATACAAAACTCTCCAGACTTCAAAAATCTGCTTTCCTATTTATTACACTATATGCAATTTACTTTTTTACAAATTACAAAACTCTTTTTCGTGAAATGATTTTGATTTTGGAATGTTTATGAATTGTGGTATGTAACAATATAATTGTCTAAGCGAGACATTTCTTTATTTTTTTTTCTGGTAGACATTTTAAAAATTTATCGTCTCATAAATTCCACACCACTACTTATTTGTCCGGAATCAGCAGGTTCATCTTTAAGTAATCTGGCACCAGAATGATGACTTCCTACTGATTGTTGGCTGCTAGCTGGAGACTGACGACCATCCAGTGGGGTATACCCTCTCTGGACTAAATAACTATATACAGGGGGGTCTGTTGGCTTCATAGTCGGTACCAACGCTGGTTCTGATTGCATTTTATCCTGAGTAGGATAAACTGGTTGAGGATAACCAACAGGAACAGGTTGCATACCATATGGCATTGCCTGTACAGGAATAAATTGTTGTTGTGGCGGCATCTGCCCATATGGGTAATACTGCTGAGGTGCCATAAACTGAGGAGCTGATTGTATTCTAGGATCTGGAATCATTTCGGGTGGAACTTCTTGTGTTTGTGGGTTGACAGAGTGTGATCTTGGATGTGGCACTGGTTTTGGAAGTACAGCAGGCTTTGGACGAGTAGCTTTTGGACTTAGTCCTTCATCTTCAGCTTCAACTTGGTCTTCTTCCCGTCTTGACTCACTCTGATCATCATTAACTTCAGATTCAGTTTGTTCTTCTTCTCTTTCAGTATCTTCTGTGTCTATAGGATCAAGTCCTATAGAGGTTGATTGTGGTCTGTTTTCTCTCTCCTTATGTTTGATTGGAGGTTCATGATCAATCATGCTGTCCTGTGATCTGGCATCATCATCATAATTTCTTCGAGAATTTTTAGTGGCTGTATTATAACCAGGTGGTCGAAATTCCTGACTGCGGTACCGTCTTCCTCCAGTACGCAGTGAACCATTTCTATATGAGCGCTTGAATGACACTGAAACAGGAAACAGGGGTTTGGTGAGAACAATATTTTCATACATGCTCAATTTGAATTCATCCATGGTTTGAGAGCAATTCGAACCTTTGCTTTAAACAGAATATCATAATAAATAACATGCAAATCCCTAATTGACCTCTTAAATAACAGATAAAAAGTTAACCCTGTCTTTTTATTAGTATTCAAAATTAAGTAAAGATGATTTTGTTGCTCTGCATCAGTAATATCCACCAAATTCAGTAGTAGTAGTGAATTTCATATTTAAATTGAATTCTCAAAGATTATAGTAAATTATTCAAATAATATTGAAAAAAGTGGTAAAGCACTGATAACTATAAAAAAAAACACTTACCACTATCTGCATCATCATCAAAGTCAGGACGAGATCGTGATTTAGATCTGGCATAAGCTGGTTTATAGGCAGGAGTTTTGGAAACTTCTGATGCCCAAACACTGCTTGTTTCAGATAAATCTGTTTTGGATATTTTAGATGCTGTATCAAAGTTAGATGGTGTATTGATGTAAGATAGTGGTTGCTGTTCCCATTTTCTGTTCATTCCTTTATGTTTTCTATAACAATGAACACCAACAATGATGGCTATGATCAAAATGATTGCGAAGAGACCTCCAACGATACCAACTATTGCCTCTGTTGGAAATTTTCTATGGTAATTGTATCCATAGTCACTACCATCTCCATTGCTATATCCAGGATCTCTTCCAGCTAAAAATCAATAGAAAATAAGTATGTACATCATATTATCTAATGATGTACCTCTAGCATTGAGGTGAAACTAAATTGAATTCTGATGTTATTGAATGGTTGTTTGAAAGAAAGAGACTAATGATTTTGCTTTAACAATTATAAGTGTCTCAAATGACACATAACTGTATTTGTTCTCATTACTTCCAACATATTTCAATTAACATATAAGTCATGCATGTGCAGGAACCTGCATTTCAATGGAAGCTGAAGTATAACTTACCAACTAAAGGTGTAGCGACTACTTCTATATCATATTGGGTGTTACGGATATCTTCTCTACTTAATACAAATGTAACTTTATCACCACTAGTTGTAAAGGGTTGCATATTGGGTTGTTTACCAAAGTTACAATCAAAGGCAGCCTAAAAAGAAAGTATAGGATTGCTCATAACATTGTCTGACACTTTTTAATGGGTAACCAAAAGATAATATTCCACCATAAAAATGTGATAATTCATATTGATATAGAAGAAGCAAAATGACGCTTTTCTTTAATGCCCATCTATAAGTTTTAATGATGTTCTTCTTTTAAATGACATCTATTTCTGTATTACTGTTTAATAAATAAATCAAAAATAGGATTTCTTTTTCTATCCCATAGTTTGACATAAACTCAATTTATGCTCCAATTTAAAATCTTAATTTCCAGTCGGTAATAAAACATGACTGATGAAGTACAAAAAAAAAAAAAAAAAAAAAATTTGGTATCAATCTGAGGTATTTCCAAAAATAAATCAACTTACCAAATGATTGATACCAGCATCACCATCATATATAGTGAATCTGACACCACAATCTGCTATCTGTAATGCTCTAATTTCTATTTTAAATACTGCCAATTCATAAGGTTTCTCTGTTTTTAAAGCTATTGTACATGATGTTGGACCAGAACCTGTTTGTAATGCTCCCTGACCCTTAATAGTGGCTCTTGCATCATACACATTTCTGGTGGGGCCATTACAATCTGAAGAGCTGTCCATATAAACTGAAAGAGTTTAAAAATTACATGTACTTAGTTTTATGGATTTACGTCTGAAGAACATTTATTCAAGTTTGAGGATTCAAATTTGATGTTCTTAAAAACATTTCAGGCTCTCTTTAATAGTGTAAATAAATAACAGAGTCATTAATGAACTTACATTCATAGTTATCTGGTGTATTGAGATTATTTTGAGCTACAATACCACAGCTCAATATACTGATCAGTAAACTGATACATGTCACTATCTTAATATTTCTCATCTTGTTTTTACTATTAACTGGAACTACATCTTAACCTGGAATTAATAACACATCATGACAAATAACAACAATAACTCTTTTCATAAAGAGTACTACCTCTTGTAATGATTTAAACAATATTTTATTTCTATTATACATATAATTTTTACAGAATATAAATAGGGTTTGGGAAACAAGCCAAGGCTTATGCTAATCTGTCACCAAAAACCTCTACCTCTTATAACGAACATAAAATTTAAATTTTCATAAGTGGACATAACTACGCCCTCATGAAATATGGATTAATGAACTTATTGGATTAAATAGAGTTTGAGAATCAAATTTTATGTTCATTCAAAAAGTTGGTATTCCATTTAAAGAGAAGTTCTAACTACTTAATGTTAGCCCCCTACTAGGAAGTGACTTACAAAACAATCCTCCATTGTGACAGAACGGTATCTGTTTATGACAAACTTTTCCTTTCAAGACCTTTTCAGTATGACAACAGACAAGGGCCATAAATCCAATACAATAAAACAATTTCAAATTGAACAAATGACAAAAAGGCATAATAGCAATATTTTCTACAATCAGTTTTGATAATTCAAAAACAAATAATCGTTGGAAACTTTTGGATAAAATTATGTCAAATTTTTATCGACGGGACGCAAAAAAACATCAACAGTGACTCACCTACATCACCAAACATTCTAACTGTATTGTCTGTCGTCCATTTTGAATGTTACTATATTTAATTTACCTGGATTGTCACCTGGTCAGGCAAAACAAACCGATAAATTTTAAGTCCAAATAAAATACGACAACGCACTTTATATAAACCAATCGATCAAATAAATCTTCAGCATTAAAGACAGTTTAACCAATGACACTGCTACTAATCAGACCGGAAAGAAGATATATGCAAAATTATTTTGCAAGAATTTAAATCAAGTTTTACTAGATGTCGAAAATGTCAAATTCAGCCCATATGCATTTTTTCATAGTTGATGCTACTCTTAATCGCTCAATGGCTAGGTCATGCTTGTGAATATCAGAATTTGCAGAGGGCAATCTGAGAATCCGATCACTGGATTTTGACCATCCACTGGAAAATCTCATTTTCTGCCTTCTGCTATTAGCAATTTAATTTATTTTCTACCTGAGCGGTTAAGTTAATCGCAATTGCTGGGCTAAATGTGAGGGAACTCCAATAAGATTCTTTGAATTGTCAGTCTATTTGCATTTTTCTTTTGCATCATCAAAGAAGGGATATTGATGCCTAACTGTTACATTTAGGCCTACTACCCGCGCATCACCTTTTATCTCATAGCCTATTTGCCACCCTCCCCCTCTCTTAGAAGATGGTAGACCTCTATACCCCGAAATTGCACCCGCATTCCATTTCTAACAATTTAATATGATTTATATATATTTTGTCCAAGATTATGTGTCAGAATTCAACAAATCAATCTATTTTTCAAAATTTTTCTTGGGTAGAAACCCTCTCAGAGACCCTACTTACTGCGTCTGGTAAATATGGAATTGAAATTACGAAAGCACAGATTGAAGTAAACTGGAGAGAATAATTTGTGAAAATATATTTAGGAACACAAGAAAATTTCATTAATTCATTATAAATATTTTAATACAAATAGATGAATAATTCAATTCTAAATCTTTGTACAATAATTATATCTAAAATGATTAATGATATTTAAAAAAATGAGTAAATCATGAATGATTAATTTTAAACTTACAAAATGATATTTAAAATTATTTTTAAGCAAGAGCACTAAAGGAAAAAAAACAACTAAAAACAAAGTAAATATTGTATAGACAGAGCATCAAACTGCACTTGATCACAGGCACTTTATACACTTTAATCAATAAATTAGAATGTCATGAAGGTCAAATCCATGTTTAAAATTGATAAATTCGGTGCTGCCATGAGAACAAAGGAGTCTTTCAATGGTGTACTTTGTAATTTGACTTAAAGGGAATATAAAGAGGTTTTCTCAATTTTCTATGTGTATTGGGGACAGTGACAACATCAATTTTCCCCGTACCAATATTCAGTCAGATGTCTGTGGTTTTCCGCTAAATTGAAGTGTTTGATTGATGCTTTCAGTCCCAAATACACATACATTTTTTAGAAAAAATCTCTTTACAATCCCTTTAAGCATGATGCATGATGTATCCATAATGAAACTTGTAATACAAATGTTTAATATTAAATATAAAAGCAACTGATGTTTAATGTTTCAACAGTTTGGTTAATAAATCTGAACAGCGACAGATGTTGAATTAGAATGAAGAGATCAAAATATTTTGAGACCATCTCTGCCACATTTATTAGAATTAATCATTAAATTCCTTCTATTGAGTCTGATACATTCTGAATTAATACTTTACTTTATCTTTAATTTAATTATTTTCATAGATTCTTTAATATTAATAATTATGGCATCAGAAACTAAGGACATAGAATGCCTTTAATCGCTTCAATTATTAAATTTCCTAAAAAATAATCCCAATAATTTATGCTATTGACACATTATCTTTAATAGCTCTATTTCTACTGGGTGCAGGATGTACAACTTGAGATGAGTCTGGATTATGTAGTCCCAGATAATAGGCCATATTGTCACGATCAGGAATGTCTGAATTGTCAATAACATGTGGACCACCTCTTGATGGTGACAGAAATGATGGTTCGTTCGGATCAGCTTGAAGTTGTAAATAGTCAGTTACTGAAAAGACATAAAAAAAACAATATCATAACGATTTCACCATTCTCCATTTTCCATCAAGGATTCCAATACATATGGAAGCATTTGCATTAATAACTGGATATAGGTAACTTGGACAAAGAAATTCCAATATTCTGTTTGATAGTGTATCAAGTGTTATATGTGAGGAAAAGAAAGTTATTGATGACATAAATAAATATGTTATAGATTATACTCACTCTTATCTGTGTCCTCTGGTATGTCAGCATATCCACTCCTTGTTGTAGTTCTAATAACAGTTTTACGTGTGATCTGCGGATTAGCATCAGGGGGTGGATCACTTGGGTCTCGAGTAGTGTCAGTCCATAATACTTGATTAGTTTCAATCCCAGTTTTAGGATCTACTCCTGACTTCATCATGGCTGTCCGATGACCCTGACCATTATCTTGTGGAAGCTGTGGTATGATGTTTTTAGATGGAGGTGTGTGTGATCTTTGACGACCAGATCCTCTTTGAGAGGGATCTCCATATGGTGTTGATGAATACCCAGGTGCTCCTGGATTACGTGAGTTGGGATGAGGTTGACCTTCTTGAGTCATCATAAAAGCTTTTTTTTGTACCTTTCCATCCCTTGTAGGTGTTTCTTGTACAATAAATGCAGCTTGTCCAGCTTGTTGAGGAGGCATACCAGGTGCTGGCATCGCTTGGTAGGCATAGGCATAGGTCTGAGTTCCAGGCGCCACAGTTCCTGGGGCAGGCATCATACCATATGGCATACCATAATTAGTCATGGGATACATTCCAGGATACATTCCATAAGGATTATTATATGCAGTATTTAATGGTTGCATCCCGTCAGGTAATGGTTCCTCTGAAACTGGTCGATCAAACAATGGTTCAAAAGCTTCTGGTGGTAAAACATCCTCATCTCTATCTTTACTCTTTGACTTTCTTTTCTTTTTCTTATTTTTAGGCGATTTCTGTGATTTGGAATGATTTGGATTCACCATTAAATCTGGATCGATGTTTTTACTTTTCTGTGATTTGGAATGATTTGGATTCACCATTAAATCTGGATTGTTGTTTTTACTCTTGTTGGTGATTTCTCTCACTTCTGAATCATCAGAATCATCAGAATTATCAGAATCATCATTAGAGTCTTCGTTTTGTCTGTTTTTGGAATGTGTTTTATGATGGGAGTCTGGTTCAGGTATTGACATCACACTGGCTGAATCAATATCTGAGGCTGAATCCTCTGCATTGTCATTTCTTGATTTCAATCTAGCTTCACTGGCTTCTTGAGCTAAACTTTTAGCTCGTATTTTATTGTCTTTCTGAGAGGAAGTACTTCTATTGCTATCTCTAGCTTCAGTTCCTCTTTGTAATTCATCTCTTGATGGTGATTCACCATGTCTTGATCTTCTTGGTGATCTACTGGGTGAGTCACCATGTCTTGAATCTCTTGATGGAGATTCAGCATTACTTCTTAATGATGACCTCTTTTCATCATTATCTTGACTTCGTTTAGAACTTCTTGAATGATGACCCCTTTGAAAATTTTCATGTGGTGCTTCAACTTGATTATCATCACTTTCAAATACATCATCAATTAGAGTTTCTTTTCGAAACTGAGTAGAAGAGCCACCATTTACAGATCTTTGTCTATTGGCAATAAGTGCCTGTTTCAAATTAATCTGTTCTCTTGGGCATCCACCATTTAGCATGACGCCATTTGGATCACGATTATCAAATGTTCTTGCCCTAGAATCCTGGTAAGTCCGTCTATTTATATACTGATGTCCACCTGGAGGTCTGTAAGATGGGTGTTGCTTTTCACCTGCTAAAGTAGACCAAACTGCTGGATCTCTGTGATCAATGCCAGATTTCACAGAATTTGTTTCAGACTTATCAAGACCACTATTATATTCTCCATTTTCTATTTTCTGTTTGGTTGAATCATATTTTTCAGGAGGTGTGCCAATATAGTTATAGATACGTCCAGATCGCCAGCACCATATTAATATAGCAAACAGTACAATAACTAACAATAGACCAGCAACTATTCCTATAATAACTCCAGGTGATAATATAGTTCCACCCAAAAACAACCCAGGAACATCTGGATCCTCTGAAAGAAGACAAAAAGAAGGAATTAAATCCAAAACCACTTATCTGGATTTAAAATACAATATTAGCTTTTACCTGTGTAAAACACTTTGACAAATTGACCTCTCCCCCTCCCCCTAATCAACGTATATTTACGATACATAACCTCTAAATTTGTCTAGACGTAAACAAAAAAGCTGAAGCTCAGGAAGATCACCACATGTACAATGAGTCTGAGAGAAATTATGCCAAGATGCCATTACAATATATCTTAATGATTGGTGGATTCTTAGCTTCATTTTTAATCAGAAATAGTAATCTTTGTGATTGTGATCTTACCCCAAGTTGTAACTGTTAATTTAAAGACATAAACTGTTTGGTATAAGATAACTGGTCTAGTAAATCTAATTGTAATCCATTCAGAATCTGAATATAGTTTATCTTTATTTTCTGAGTTACATCCTAAACGTCTCTACAAACAACAAGTACTAAGGGTAAATAAAAATATAAATCATCATGACTGTGTCTTGAATTCATCCAAGACTAAAATTGGCAACAATACTGAATTCACCAAAATAGCAAAATGCCTGATTGTTTCTCCATAGCATCAATCACTTTTAGAACAGAAACAAATGGAGTTTTAACATCTTACTTTTCTGCACTAAATTGGGCTAATAAACTAAATTATATTAGCCTACTCTATTTGAATTTCCAACAATAGGCCTTGATTTATTTTCTCATCACAAGGACATTTCCATTTCATCTCCTACAACCTGCATGACAAGGGGAATCCGGGTTGAAAAATATTATCCTATGCTGGTGTTGAACCCTTGACCTTCAGGTTAGTTTAAAGACTGAATAAAAATCAATCAATTCAACAATTAGTTTTTTGCAGAAATTTAGAAGTATTTACTTACCAGATAATTACCAAAAGCACCTTTTCCATTAAAAATATCCACAAACACTGCACAATCTTCTATTTGAACTTCATTAATAGCTACTTCCAGTTGACTTTTACCATCTGTATAGCCTGATTTTAACATGATAGTACATTCTTGAGGAGGATTAGCTGGGGCTGCATTAGCTTTACCATTTAATATAACATTAAAATCATATATAGTTACTTCTTGTCTACATGTTGATAACCTATCCATATCATCTGAAAGCAAAATCATCATATATATATATATTTGTAGGTATACTATACCTCATAGAATGAACACAAAATTTTAATTCTCATACTTTGCCAATAAGAGAATATTATATATAAATATATATATGAAAGAAGATATATATATTTCACACTAATGAAATCAGATATAGACCCTAGGACTGGAATAGAGACACACCAAGCTCTTTGGACTGATAATACAAGAGATCCTACAGATCCCACCTCTGAACATAATAAGAGGTAGTATTACTTTAATGTACAAATATTAACTCCAAACAATACTGTAGAAATATTGACTTTCATAGTTTAGCTGATGAGAACCCAAGACTAATGTACACATCTTATACACTTACAAACTCTATCTACAGCTAATATTGTTGTTGGTATAAGTACCAATGCAAGTAATTGCAGTACATGGTAGCCCCTTCTACCCATCTTAATTCTCTTTTATGTTATTTCCATATCTACAAAAACAAAATATTTCACTGTTAAAATAGTGCTCCATTCATCAATAGAGTGATATAAAAATATTGCTGGTACAGGTTCTGCTTTAAAATTTCTTATATCAATAACTAATTAAACCAAAATTCAAAGTAAACAGGACATTAAAGGCTAGATTTATCAATATGATGTGTGGTTGGGTCGAACATTATCAAGGAACCACTGTGTAAAAATAAGTTGCTAAACCTAATCAATCCACTTAAAAGAGTCCATGTTATTTTAGTTGATCTCCATTCTGATATGCATTTAAGATAAGGGTGATCGAAAGTACAAAGTTATTATCAGCAGTAACATTTTACTATTCAATGGTAGGCACTGGCACAGGCCTACAGTAATTTTAAAAAATTGTGATGTGATGCATTTAAGGTAACTCCTATGATATCACCACTTATCAATTTAATGTAAGTCAGTTATCTATCATAATTCAAATTTGACAAGTAGTAATATACCTAATCTTACTAATTACAGGTGTTTTGAATACAAAAAATGCTTTATTGATCTTATACTAATCTGGAATCGTTCAAATAAAGCTTCCAGTTACCTGAATTTATGTCAAATTTTAAATATGATCACTTTACCGTTCAAAACTGTTTGTTTTCATCCGTTTTGTTTGACCTAAATAATTTGTCACCTGGCAAGTCTAAACCAATTGATAAATTATTTTCATTTTCAAAATTAGTACTTTGTTTAAATTTTTTAAAGTGGAAATTGTATATTGTTATCATTTTTCGGGTATGTGCATTGAAAATTGAGGTCGAATGCTGTAATTGAGACAAATAGATTATCTCTTAGTTTAGACTCTTCAGGTAAGAACAGGTACACCTAGGTCAAAACATGCAATATGGCTGACAATAATAACAATGACCTAAATATAGTCACGACCGTTAAACCGTGAGAAGCGTTCATCTTATTTTCTACCATTAAAACAACAAAGAGTAAATACAGGTATGAAAAGTGAGAAGTCGTACGTAGTTGAGGGCTGATTAAAGGTGGCCCATCACATTTTTTTAATGTGGGGTTGATTGGATTTAAGCATTGAGCACATAATTATGAATTATGCCATATTTGGAAATAACTTTAAAAGAAATAGTCTTAATCTTAAATAATCTATGTTTGGTAGAATATATTTTTGATGAAAAAATATAATTTTGTTGTTCATTTAGGGATTCAAATATAAGCAGTACGATATGGATTGCAATATTCTTTAGTATACTATTTCAAGACAATTCAAAGATGCTTTATTAAGAAAAGATTTCCCAATCTGTAGGATATAATGCACATGAAATTAAGTTTTACATCCAATTGTTCAAGTAAAAAAAGACTTAGGGTTTTAAAATGAAAGCCATTGTCATTTTGATGTCACTAATGAAATTACTATTGTTTTTTTGTTATTTTATATCCTTTATGTCTACCTTTCAGAGATAAAACCCAAAAAGAATTTTGATAAATATGGTTGATTAAAGTTGGTTAGTTTTAAAACTAAACATGAAGAGTCTTATTATTTTGATGTGGACAGTTTCCCAACTGTCGTCTGCCCAGAGAGTGTGTAAGTGTGCTTGAGAAAAAATTTGGCAGTTGACTGGTAACCGCACACCCTTCACAGAAAGATATCTGCCTAGTTATTCCTTCAGATAACTATCTGTACTCAAGAATATTTGTGATGGTGATGCTATAATCTGGTCAAGACACCAATTAAAAATCTAAAATGAGAAATTTGAATGGTGCAGATAAAAGCTATACTATCATACAATGGCTTGAAACCTCTTCAGAATCCTTTCTGTCATACCTTATTTCTTCTTTCCTGCATGAAACCTGGAATCCACACACCGGCAATGAATTACAGATATCCATATGTTTATCATTTGAACTTAATTCACACCTATCACTTTATATTTCAGATGATATGGAGTTTATTTGTGGTCAGGATTTAACAATATTTGATTTTGATATTGTGTTGAATGGTAAAGCAAGCTATTCTCCTAAGACCATGCCATCAGAATGTATTGTGGTATTGGAAGCTGGTTACACTGATTCAGATTATCGTTTAGAAGTCATCATAGAAGCTATTCAAATCCAAGATTGTTCTACATATTTGGACATCTTTAATGAACGTCAGGCATCTGGAAATTATTTGGTGAGTGTTAGCTCTTACAGTGTCTTACACATAATGGTACTTTTCATAATATTCCATATGCCTGGATGAAGATACAGTTTGTGTTCTGGTGTTATGTAGTAACTATTTGAATATACATGGTCAAAGCCTTTCTAGAGACCTTACATTTGTTGCACATTTTGTAATAGTGTCTTATTAAAATTGCGATGGGGCTAAACCAATAATTGATCAAAAAACAAATTTTATATTTTTAGCGAAGATTAGGGTGTACAAGTATGAGTACCGATACTATTTATAGTGATAAACAATGGGTCACATTACGATTATCTCGACCAAGAAACCTTCCACAAACAGCTTATATATTTACCCTCAAGATAAAGGCATACAGTAAGTATACATTAAAACAACTTGGCTAAAATTGTTTCGTCCCAAAATAAATCTATCAAAAATATTTTCATTGTTTTTCAATTCTTGTGTGAGCAAAAGGCACAATGAAGCAAAGGAGACATAGAATGGACAATATGTTCAAAAATAGTTCTTCAAAAAAATTTGACCGTATATATTAATCCCATTTAAAAAAAAATCTTCAAAGTAGGAGTAAGAAGAATTAAAAAATAATTATGTTCTTTTATAAAGGGTAAAATGTATCAACAACCACAGTTTTTATGTTACAATTTGATGCATTTTGAATTTCAGAAGAATCAGATAGAGCAGCTACAGCTGGTTCAGATCTTCCTGTTGGTGCTATAGTTGGTATCATTCTGGGTCTATTAACATTGATAGTAGTTGCTGTTATCTTGGTGTGGTGTTGGCGTTCAGGAAGAATAATGGAGTATGTTGGAAGTGGACAAGACACGGAAGACTTGGAAGAGAAATCTGTAGCCAGTCTTGGCGTTGACAATAATAGTATTTGGAACTCAGAACCAATTGATAAAAATGATCCCAATGCTTTCCGTCGTTCAGATGGACCACAATATCTGGGTAGGAGGAGTATTCGTGACATGAAACCACGTTATGAAGATGGAAGCGAATTTGGGGACTATATCTCTACTACCAGTGCTCAAAATGCAAGACTAGCTGCTATTCCAACTGAAAATAACCATGAACATTCTGGTCCTCAAATCAAGAATACAAATGAGGTGCAAATGAATGTAAGGAAAGGAGAATCTTCAGCAGCTTGGAAAAGAGACGATTCAGATTTAAGAAATGCCTTGAATGCTGAAATTCGTAGAGGCCCAAGAGTTCCAGAAACAGACACATCTACAAAGAATCGTATCAGTTCAGACATTGAAGAAAAGGGACAAGCTAGAGATGGGTGGCAAAAAGAACAGACAAGTTTGAAAAATTTACTTAATGCAGAAATAAGGAGAAGGTCTAGTAATGGAGGACAAAGTGCAACACCTAAAAATAGCCAAGAGACCCTCATTGATGAAGTATTTGAAAGTGATGATAATAAAATTGAAGTTCCTCTCCATGCAAAGAGGAATGGTCAAAATGTGGAAAGTTCACCGAGAGGTCATCACTCTAGAAGCACTAAGAGAGATAAAGATAATCATGAAGAGGGGCATATGAAAAGACATGATGACAGTCCTTCAAGAAAACCAAGAAATCATGGTGAATCTCCATCAAGAGGTTCACGACATGGTGAATCACCCAGTAGATCACCAAGAAGATCAAGACATGGTGAATCACCATCAAGAGATGAATTACAAAGAGGAACTGAAGCTAGAGATAGCAATAGAAGTACTTCCTCTCAGAAAGACAATCAAAAACGAGCTAAAAGTTTAGCTCAAGAAGCCAGTGAAGCTAGATTGAAATCAAGAAATAGAGGAAATCAAGTTGATCCACCATCAGATTTTGATTCTAGTAGTTTTATGTCAGTACCTGAACCAGTTACTGTAACAGCCTCAGTTCATCCTGATACCAAGACCAAATCTAAACATCATAAAGACTCTCGGTCTCAGGATATGGACTCCAATGATCTGGAAGTGCGAGAAATCACACAGAAAAGTAAAAACATCGATCCAGATTTAATGGTGAATCCAAATCATTCCAAATCACAGAAATCGCCTAAAAATAAGAAAAAGAAAAGAAAGTCAAAGAGTAAAGATAGAGATGAGGATGTTTTACCACCAGAAGCTTTTGAACCATTGTTTGATCGACCAGTTTCAGAGGAACCATTACCTGACGGGATGCAACCATTAAATACTGCATATAATAATCCTTATGGAATGTATCCTGGAATGTATCCCATGTCTAATTATGGTATGCCATATGGCATGATGCCAGGACAAGGTGCAGTTCCACCAGGCACTCAGACCTATGCCTATGCATACCAAGGTATACCAACAGGACCTGGGATGCCTCCATCACAGGCAGCCTACATTGTGCAGCAATCACCATCTAAAAATGGTCCAGTACAGAAGACATTCATGATGGCTTCAACTGAATCAAGACCTCAAAGCCAGGATGGATACAATAGAGGTACTGATTACCCAGGTCACCCAGCCCGTTCATCAACACCTCATTCAGTTGCATCTTATGGAGATACACCACATGGTCATCAAAGATCATATCCCAAAAACTCATCTGTAGTTCCAAAAGGAAGATCACAACCGGAAGGCCATAGAACAACAGTAATGAAATCAGGTGTAGACCCTAGGACTGGAATAGAGACACATCAAGCGCTTTGGACTGATAATACAAGAGATTCTACAGATCCCACCTCTGAACATAATCCCAAACTTGATCGTAGAACAGTAACAAGAACTACAACAAGAAGTGGATATGGGGACCTCCCTGAAGATACAGATAATAGTAAGTTTCATTTAAATATTATTCTGATTTCTTAAAAATAAACTCAGTATCCATTTGATGTTGACTATAAGCAGTTAACAAAAAATTTGCTATCAAAAAATGAAATGGGGGAGTATGATTTAAAGTGGCAGAAATTTCGTAAATTATACCTGAAAATTATTCTAAAATATCCTATTTACATCTACTTGATCAGGCTGAATTTGTTTAATAAAGTGTAGGTTAATACTTTCAGATAAGTTATAGGACACCTTTCTCTTGATTCTGGTGTCACCAATTTGAGCAAAACAAAAAAATCGACCTACCAGAATGCCCCTTTTGATTTGATGAGCTGTTCCAACTGAGACTTAAAACTTTTTCTTTTCTATTTTTAGTCACAAATCATCTTTATATACAACTAGATCCAGATGATCCAGCCTTCCTAGCACCATCTAATACAGGCACTCATGCTTTATCATCAACAGAAACACCAGAAGGAGATAATGTGAATTATTATTTAGCATTGAACAATAAACATGGCTCACCACAACATATCATACATCCTGCTCCTTCTAGACATAAAGCTATTAGAGACAGTGTATCTATAGCCTAGGATCAACATCTTATAATAAAGTCTTATAAACTCTAGCAACAAGAGATTCTTTATCAATTTTCCCCTGATCAATATCGATAAAATGGAATAATTACACCAATGTCCAAAGTGTTATTTGAAAAGCCACTTTGGATGTGATGTTAAATTAATGGTAGATGATGACTTTTTCTCCTAGAGATATTTATTAAAAGATTTCTTTGCATCAGTTTTTTCAAGTTTTTAAATCATCTTTTCTTATTGTGCATTATAGTGCTATATATGATTGTTACTGGTCCTCTTGCCATCAGATTTGATTGGATTCACATAAATAGTGAAATTGCATTAGTTGTTATATAACCGAATATGTGGTTAAGCAGAATGATTCTGTGTTCTTGCTAGATAAAAGTATAAAATAGGATAAACTCTGATGTAAATTTTTCTGAAGGTGTGATTTGATCTCAATATTTATCAAAACTTTGATAATACTAAAATACTATCTTTGTATATAGAATAAAACATATTTATCGATTTTATCAAGGTTATAAGGAATCCTGACCACCAAACTTTTAATCTAACAAGCATTCTTTGAGGATAACATTGCAACAAAATTTATTCTATTCTCCTTGAGTACGGTTTTTACTTATTAGTCAACTGATTCCATTTCATAGAAGCTATAAAACTTTGTTTAAGACCTCATTGCAATATCGGCAAGTTGAATCAAAGGTTACTGTTCAACACAACACAAGTGTGTTTTCTCTGTTATAAATATCCACATTTATGATAATGATCAAATAAAAAAAAGTCAAATGGATAGTCATGCAAAAATTTGCTTTTTCAGTTGAATTGGTTCAATATCAGCTATTAATACTAATGGCACATTACAGTATGATATTCCAGCTGCAGATTTTAAGATGAGCTTTATCCCTTTAAATAGGCACAACCTAGAACATTACATCACTTCATAGATGTCTTTATATAATCACAACTTAATTTATTGATACAATATCTTCATTTTTCATGACAAGTAGCCTTATATGTTTTTCAATGTATTTTATTTACTAAGTGTACAGTTTTGGAATATAATGAAGCAAAGATATATGCTCATCTGGGTAGGATTTGAAATAAAATCTTTTATACATTTGATGTATGATATCATATATCTAGTTAGTTTATAATAGTAAGAAATATATTAAGTCATGTTTTTGATCTTTAACCATAATAGATGTATTTTGGACTATTCAACAAAACAAATTCTATCAAAAAAACAAACATTTTCGGTACCATTAATTTCTATTGTTCACCTTATATTGGATACTTAATAACATTTTAGAATATTTTGCATTTATTAAGTAGATCTATCAAAAGGCATGTTAACTTAAAAAAAAACATAGTTACATTTATGTTGAAAATGGTGACACAAATATATAAGCCATGATTCTATTTTTTTTTTTAAAGAGAAAGAGGATAGGGGTTAATTTAATATTTAATCTTGGCTTGATCTTGACCACTTTTATCATTTTTTTTTTAATTATAAAATTTGTAAATTATCATTTATATTATTTTTTACTGAAAATAAATCATTGTACAATTGTTGTTGTTATATCATTGTGGCCTTTAATTTTGAAATAAAATGAATGGAGTTTTATGTCCTACTTTTCTGCATCATGTGGGCTTGTGAAGACGGGCAACGCCATGCAGGGTGCAATGAGGGAAATTTTGCCAGGACAGCAGTATTAGCCTGCTCTTTTTTCGATTTCCAACTGTCGATGGATCTTTAACAAGCACACGTAGCACACAGGGCCTCGGTTTATTGTCCCATCCAAACAACTAGACGCTTTTTCCGTGTCAGCCCCTCTTAACTGTATCACTGACAGGGGGTAATCAGGTTGAAAAATCCGAAGGTATTATCTCAACCTATGCCGGGATTGAACCCTGGACCTTTAATTTGTAGAAGAGGGACAAGTATTCAAGGAACAGAATTTAATGTATCTAAAGTCAATAAATGAGCACACATGCAACCACCTTTCAATATACATACATATAAAAAAATAAACTTCAATGGTTATTTTGGTTTATGAGTCACCCAAACAAAATGATCACAACGAGCTTCAGGATTAGAACTATGACCTTCACCTCTAGCACACACATAAAATTGTTTGTTTTTGTTTGGCCCATCTTTCTTCACAGTTCTCAAGACACATGGTTCTTTATGACCTTTACATAATGGTGCCTTTCCTGGACCTGACAGTAAATTCTTCCAAGCAGAAGCTGAATTTTGATGAGATTCACTTTGAATCTTTGGAATTGATTCTTTTTTAAAGAATGGAGAAACTTTTTCTGTGGGGAGAGTTATCTTTTCTTTTTTTGGAGAAGTGTCTGTGAATTGCAAAGTTAATTGTTTAGTTTCTAATTTTTGAGTAGTGGCCTTTGGTTTGTTGAAAAAATTACTTAAATTTGTTTGTTTACCAATTTCAACTTTCACACGTTTTGATGCATTCATACCAGAGTTGTCAGGCGCTCTTTTTTTCAAATTTGTTACACTGACTGATGTAGTAGAGATTTCGGAAGAATTTTCAGGAGAAACATCCTTAATTATGACACTGTTTGATTTCTTGATAAAAAAATTTGATAATTTCAACTGACTTCCTTTAAATTCTGGCATATACTTCGTACACAAAGACGGACATTTTTTGGGAGTAACACTTTCACAACTAAATGTAACCTTGACAGGACAATGATCCGATCCTTCAATTTCTTGCATAACAACAGCTTCCTGCACATATTTAGAATGAAACTCTTCACTAGTGAGGATATAATCTAATCGCCGGCCATAGTTATTTTCACGAGCATTGGTTGTTGTACACCAGTTTGTAAATGCATCACTGACGTCTGGGTGTAACTGTCTATAGGAATCTACGAACTTTCCACCAATAAGATGAGGAGTCATTGTTTCACCTAAAATATGCCTTTCTTCATCATCGCATTTCAGATTAGGATCTTTGTCTTTTTCAATTAAAAACTGGTTCATCCATAATCTACTGGGTCTGATGGTAAATTCCTATAAAACAGGGTTTTTTATTAGTTTGACATTAGAAATAGGTTTCAAGTTTCGCTGTACATTAAATATATGTTTCTTGTTTAGCTGTACAATAGGTTTCTTGATTTACTGTACAATAAGTTTCTTGATTAGCTGTACATTTAAAATAGATTTCTTATTAGCTGTACATTAAAAATAGATTTCTTGATTAGCTGTACATTAAAAATAGATTTCTTGATTAGCTGTACATTAAAAATAGAATCCTTGATTAGCTGTACATTAAAAATAGAATCCTTGATTAGCTGTACATTAACAATAGATTCCTTGATTAGCTGTACAAAAAGAAGGTTTCTAGGTAAGCTATACAGCAAAGATATCTTTCAGAGAACAATCTAACAAGACTATGAACTTACAATCTGTGACAAGGGAAATAATCCAGATCTATTGACTCATGAGATCAATGTACCCTTAAATATGTATTAGAAAAAACATTTAGGAGCTCTTTTGTGTGTATCAAAATTTTAGGCCATGTCATACATACATTAGAAATTTTCTGATACAATGAAGAAGAAGCAAACACTAGTAATCACTATTATTTATAAAATACTCAGACTTACCTCACTTTCTGTATCACAATTATCTAATGCTCTGTGAGTTGTATTTATATCTCCTAAAACTATCACATGACTGGAACAAATAATATAATTATTATACCCAGATGTAGGAGATCAAAGAAAGATCAAAGAAAGATTAAAGAAAGACTTCTTCTAACATAATTTTTAAAATTTTTACTGAATCCAAACATAATATGCTCAAATTTATTTGCGATATTCCATAAAAAAATACATGGTTATCATATCACTAATGAAACAAACCTATGTCCTATATATGTTTTATATATGTTTCATATACACTTTTTTGAAGCCTTTTTATTTTGGCGGCTAACAGTGGAATAAATTTTATTATGGTACATACTGTTTAGGATTGTTGATTATAGTCTCAGCTCTATTCTGTAACAAGGAGAGAAATCTGAGTTTGTATTGTTTTCTATCTTCTCTATCAGCTGCTCTTGGTACATAAACATTGATAATAGATACAAATTCTGATTCTCCATCTTTATTCCTAAAATATTCAAAAAAATTCAATGAATAGTCATAAAGTAATAATACACTCACTATTTTCACTGTAAAACAATGCATTAAAAACTATGCCTTACAAAACGAAATAGAAAAACCATCAAAATATAACAAATCTCAGAATGACTTCAGAATGAGTCAGATCGTGGATTTTGATTTATCTGTATTTGCCAATCATGTCTGATTGAAGCTCCAAAAAGAATAACAAAAAAATTGATCTTTAGGACATTTTATGTCACAATATGCTAGATTTTTAAAATTTTTTCAGGCAATCTCAATGTAAATTGGAACAAGATCTTAATTTACATGTTCAAATGTCTGGTAGGGAATTTTTAACATAAACAGCCCTGAGTTAAATAATGCTAAGATCAATTCTACTAACTTAAACTCATGTTGAGTAATAACAGCTCGTCCTTCAGCATCTAAATTTTCTAATTCTTTACTGTCCTCATCAAAATCTTCTGTGTAACCATAGCAACCAACATTATCATCTGTTTGTTGAGTTAAACATCCACTCAATCCTTCCTCAGCTTTCACTGGTGTAAACTTTTCTTTGCAGAATGTTGCCACACCTTTTGATAAAGAATAGTCTTCTTTAAACAGATTGTAAAGAGGTTTTCTAAACTTTTACGTTTCTTGGGGACATTGATCAATCTACACAATTCAAATTCTTGAAAACATGTTTTATACTGCAACTGTTGCAGAGGCTCTTATGAAATTGTTATGAATTGTCCAAAACATCTGCCTTTATTCAAACCTCTGGTAGCTATTTTGACATTTGTTTGCTGTAGTAGAGTCAGACAAACATGGACTGTTTAATGGGGATTTTTCGCAGTCCAAAGCATGCAATAAGAAGATAACCTTTAACCTAAGAGTTGGACGCACTACTTTAAAGGGATACTACGTCTTAGGATGGACATAAAATTTTAATTTTGCTCGAATTTGGCCAATAACAGTATATATCCATCAGTGGACTCACCTGCTGTCCAATACATCAAAATCCCTCTATAATCCGATATATCCACAAAATCAAGTAATTAATTATAAAACGCCTAATACATCCATTAAGCGATTTCAAATCGTGAGTCTATTTAATCTGGTGTTATCACAAGGGGAAGTAACTCTCAAGTGGAGTTTCTCGCGTCCTTGACCTCTACTCTTGAATTGACCTTGACATTGTCAGACATATTTTGAAGACGGAATAATAATGCCTCGTAGGAGATTAAGCGACTCTGCGAAAAAGCAATTCATACAATTTAGAATGAAAACTCCACCACTGACACAATTTTCAACGAATATTAATAATTGACAAAGTTTGTTTGTATACACCAGAAGATGATTGTTTCCTGTTTTAGCGTTGATTACCCAGACTCTTTTTTTCTCAAACTGAAGGGATTCATCGCTTGCTCACTTTTTATTTAAATTCTGATTATAGTTTTATTGTCGCTTTTTCAAACTCGATAAAGTGTGGGATGCATACTTATTTAACCAATGGTCACTATTAAACACAAATAAAAGCCAAAGGACAAGTATATTCTAAGACGTAGTATCCCTTTGAATGTAAGACATCTTCTATAAACATAAAAATAAACATGACTGCTAAACTAACCTGAATAGCCACTTCTTTTCCTTGAAAAACTAAAATAAGAGTTATAACCTTCTACAATAGCTGATGGTTCATCTAACATATCACCTTAAAATAATATTAATATAACATTAACAATACATTTTCACTGTCAAATAGCGCTCAATACAGCTTGTGGGCGATGTAGAATTCTATTAAGATACTTTTTTTCAACAGAAATGATTTTGATGGCTTGTCCAATCACCTAAAAAATTATGAAATATTCTCAGTTATTTGATAGAGGGCAATCTGATTTGACTAGCTGTCTCAAGTTATGATCGATTTCATTGACTTGTCATAAACTGTCACACCTATGGTATTCTAATATGGACTAATAATGCTGGACTGTGTATAAGCTTAATAAATTAAAAATAAAAATAAAAATCACAGCAGAGGCATCTGTTCCTATCAATAGTCGACTCACTATATTATACCAATATAGAGAGAGGAATCACAGTCCATGGCTGAACTAATCCATACAATATTTCACATTTTCCAACTATTCGGGGATTGATCTTATTATTATAAATAAACATAACTACACTAGACTAGGCCTATAAACCTATATATAGGTGTTGACATTGATGTGGAAGTCCAAATTTGGTCGGTTTCAACAAATGGTAGTCTAAATTTACAATTAGGACATAAATGTTGGCTATAGTAGAAAGTGCAAACAAACTACCGACGGTGACATCCTAATTTGTTAGTAGACGATAAAGGTTACGGGTACTTGAACTTAATATTGTCTACGTTTGTAACTAAAACACTAACTGAGTGACTAAGAGCAGAAATTGGAACTGGAATTGTGGAAATAAGATTACTGACGTGTAACTTTCGTTTCTTGTAAGCATATGATATCTGCGTCTAATGATTCAAATAAATTCTTCAATGATGTTTTGCTGGCTCTTATTCCATTTATGTTCCATGTCAGGATTTTCATTTTCAAAAATAGTTCTGAACGACTTGCTTAAAACCGAAAGTAGCTCTTAGAGTCTTAGATCTAACGATTGACTACAAACACAATCGTTCCGTACTGTGGTGAGAGTAGCTCTATGGGTTGGAGTAGATCTAACACTTAGTAACGTGTGGACTATCAATATTTATTTTAAACAACCTGACTCTCAGTTCGGGTAAGGGCTACACGTGGTTAAGGCATTCTAACTCTTGCAGAATAATGCTTTAAAGTTCAATACTTATATAACTTTAAACAACATAATTTTCTTGTCGATAGGATTACAAATAGAAGCATAACGTTATATGCGTTTTGATTAGAAGTTATTATTAGCCTAGATAATTTAAGCCAATCAAATTTAGCTTTTTATCGCGATTCGATTTCGCGCCATTTCCGTTTAAACTGTTATTCCCGGAAGTAAACTTCAACTTCGAATATTTTGCAAAGTTTTTAAGTAAGTCCATTTCTTTGGCCTTTTGGATTGAATCGCAGATTCGAATTGAATTGAATTGATATTTTCTACAGAAATCAATATTACTTTTTTCAGCCTCTTAAATTTTCTGATATTGTCTATGTCACATAGCCTAATATTATTTCCTAGAATTGAAAACAGAAAGAGTGAAAGTGAAGGTAGCCAAATAACAGTGGTGTAACCTATTTTCGTGCATATAAGGTTACTTGGCTGTAATATTATTCACCTCACCTGTTAATGTTTTCACTAACCACATGTTATTATCAAATTATTGTTTGACACTTTATTGAAATATGTTTTAGAAGAATTATTGCTCTTGTTCTGAATTTTATTGTGGTCTTCATCATCATATAAGCTATTCAATTATCATCACATTAAAACAAAAAAAAATTTTTCCTGGGTCAATTTTGACTGAAATCGAAGAGTAATTTCTGGGGCCATTTTGACTATTTTTTTGGGACTATGTTGACTTTTGGGGCCATTTTGACCTGGACCATTTTGGTTTAGGGCCGTTATGACTATAACCCGTGGTCTTCCTGTCTATCAACTCATTCATCAAGGAACTCTTCTTGCATAATCCAGGCTCAAAACCCCCACACTCATTTTCTCTGTTTCTTATTTTGATTATTATAGCCATGGCAGGATGATTGTTTCCTCAACAATATTTTTCCATCAAAAGTTGGTGCAAGTAAACTTGCAAGATGATCTGCAAGTCGCATCGCGAAAGTAATTTGTCTCGTGTAGAGGGACACTTTGATTAAGCCTATTGTATTTAAGTACGGTAATTGAAGTGTCTGTTGTTTTGTATTCTCAGCTTGCTACTACAGTTGTACCAGTACAATAGCCTAGTTTTAAAGAAATATAAAAGATGCCTCCAATACCAGATTTAGAATTGATGTCAAATAGAGAATTAGTAGAACTGTTAAAAGAATATGGTATAAGTAGTGGGCCAATAGTTGGTAAGTACTGTACAACTATAATCTTTCAAAGGCATATTAGAAGTACAGGTTATAGATAAATAAGACAATTTATGGATAGATACTTATAGAATATTTATTACTTCAACGTTTCAATGTGGTTCTCACACCGTCATCAGGAATATAATAATGGGTACAAACAATATGTACAACTATAGTCATACCTGTTCTTCGGTCTGTTAGTAAGCACTACTGCTTCTTGAACCCCTTAGAAAATTGCTAATTTGTAAATTACTATGTTTCATTTGTTTCATTGTTTTTCTATGCACATCGAGTAATCTTTAAGATTAAAAGGTTTGGTCTGATAAAATTTGTGAGTAAAGGTTGAGTTGATTAAGCTGGGTTCGAATTAAGGCTAAAGCTGATAAGGAAACCACTTTAAAATGTGAGTGTTTCGAACTTTAAACTACTGCTCAAAAAATATCTGTACATTGACGATGCTTCATCTTATATTTTCTTAGGCTCAACAAGAAAGATTTATGAAAAGAAGCTGTTACAGAAATTAACTGGTGAAGAAATAAAGTCTCAATATGCTCCAGCCCCCCATGATGATAGTGAAGAGGACGGTAAGTCTTTTATTTATTTATTGAATCATATTTTATTATTGAACTAAAATTATATTAACTATAACAGTATATAACTAAAATGAAAAATGGCTGGTTATTTATGACCAATATTTTATAATCTACAGCAATAAATAGTTAAAAAACAATACCAGATTTATCAAGAAGAAAATCTTCATAAAAGTTTGTAGTCTGTAATGGTACATACAACATCGCATAGTTTCAATTCCATTTATTTCATTTCAGTTCCACCCAGTCCAGCATATAAAGATCTATCTGATAGGTAAATATTTAAGATTAAGATAGTGGTTTTAGAAGTTCTTTCCAATGTATCATGCAAAAACTCATCTGTACTTGTTCTTTTTATCTTTTCACAAGACTAATAAGATTAAGAGTTAATAATAAAATTAGTAATTATTAAAGTATTAAGTATTTATAAACCGCAGAAATCTTTAGAGTGCTCAAAGCTAAATTGTTGTTGAAAAAAGTCACTAAAAAAACTGTTATGATTTCCAACAGCTGTAAGTGGGCGTATGTTACCTGTATCTGTCTTTTATTCCAATTATTATTTATAATTGATTATTTAGATGCTTTTTACTTCTTAAATTGTTTATAATCATTCATTGTGTTCTGTATCTTTTAGTAGATCTCAACCAAGAAAAAGAGGATTTAGAAGTGGAACTCCAGAAAATGTGGAACCTTTAAATGAATCTTATAGAAGATCACCAAGATTGTAAGTAATTGGTTTTATTATACCTGAAGACGTATAGAGCTTTTGAGTATGTTGTGATAAACTCATCATAAATAACTGACAGTAAATATATATATATGAATAAATTCAAACTACAAATCCATTATGAAGATCTTGAAAGTGAGAAAATTCATTTTAGTCACTGAAAACTTGATTATCATTTTTGACAGTTGCCAGTGGGCATATATTTTGCATTGCCTGGCAAGATATATAAAATTATTTGCATATCATACATACCCATTGAAATATCTTAGTGGTAAATGATTTGATGTGAAATTGAGGTGTTAAGTTTGTTGGACTAATTGAGGGATAATAACAGACATGAATACCTTTAATTTTTCAGAAATAAAAAACCAATGAAATTTACCAGTACCCCAATCCAGAAACCAGGCAATACAGACCAGGACTCTTCCAAAAATTCATCATCTTCTGGAGGAATTCCTTTATGGATTAAAATAGTACTCATCCTTATAGCTATTGTAATCGGCTACCTTGTGTTGCAGAATATGGAAATATCAGTTGATAATAATATACCACGGGGAATTGAGGCTGAAGTTTGAAGAATTTCCTTTTAATTTAAAAAGGGTGAAGGCTAAGAACTCAATAAGCTTCATCTCAGGTTGTGGTAGACTTTGTATGTAGAATCTGTCCATATATTTGTCACTATTTACAGCTACACAAAGCATCACAATTTAATTAAAATACAGTTCTGAACAATTTTGGGTTTGGTTGGTTGATATTTTATTTTTCTTTTGAATCTAAATTTTGCATAATTTGCTTTTGTGCTTTTTTTCCATGATTTAAATATACAGGGTTGCCATACGTTTGACAAATTTTACCTTAGTCTCATAAAAAAAATTTCTGAGCTAATCAGTAATAGTGTTCACAGCTCAATTTGAGCCTTCGAATCCATGTGTGGACAGAATTATCTGTGTTTCAAAGTTAAAAATATGACTCGTCTTTTCTGGAGACTCATATTGTGTATTTTGAAGAAATTATGCAATTTTTGTACATTTCTAGAACTTTTGAAGACTATTTAGGTCTGTTCAAGACGCAAATCAACCCCACAAAATGGCAAACCTGTCCCTTTTTTTGGGGCTTATTGTAATATTTAGTGCTCTACATCTTTCAGTACAATTTAATGAATGTGAAATGTAGAATGTATTTTAATTAATGAGTTATTATAATTATGACCCATTATATTTCTAAAAGGTTTGTTAACATTGTGCTCTGCATCTTCTTGTTCTTTATCACATAGTGTATGCTTCTAGCTTTTCAAGATAATATGTCATCAGCAAGAAATTTCTTAGTGTACTGCAGATTCACAAATATATATTAAATCATGTCTTGTGAATGTATCTTTTGGCACTGTTATATAGAATGTTGAAGAGTGCAATGTTCATTTAAGAACTGTCAGGTTCTATAACAGGGGTTAACGGTTAACCTTTTTCTTTCTATTACCCCTCTCCTTGATCTATTGCATTACCACCCTTTCCCTATAAATCCTTACAATTTTTGTGTGATTTCTCTTTTGTTTTCCCTTAATGTCGCAGAATACTACCTGACTGAATAGAGCGTCTTATTATCTCCTTGTTTAAAACCCCTGTTCTATTATGTACTTCAAAGACATCATCTAATTGTTAATGTATAACAAACACTATGATATTCAGCGTTATATCAACTTTACCATTTATGTTCCTTAAATACATTAATACTGTTCCAAATATGATTATGCAGATTTGTAAATGTTGCTGTCAAATAGATCTTTTCATATATTTGATATTTCAATTTGTTATGCTTTCACTACACTTGTAGACAAGTCCTATTGAATCTTCTATATCCAAACCTCTAGTGCTATTGAAGCACAATAGTGCTATTGTTTTCTAACGAATTCAAATTCTTCTCATGGTTAAACTTAAAATTTTGTGATTGTAAACATGGTAAATGAAATGAATGGAGTTTATGTCCTATTGTAAACATGGTAAAGAGGTTCTCTAAAATTTGTATGCATCGTGGACACTGATATCATCGATTTGCACCATACAATTTTTCAATAAGATGCCTGGGCAACATAAAAGTGACGTCATCATACACTTTGTTTTAGTGGAGTCTAATTAAAAATTGGAATGGTCCAAATTGATGCTATTAGTGTCCACTTAAAAAATTTAGAAAATCTCTTTACAATTCCTTTAAACTTATTCTGCATTTAAGTTAGGTGTTGACTCCTAACATCATCAAGATGTATTTATGAACTATATACTTGATATCAGAAGACTTTTAAATCTATGTTTAATTTTGCTAAAAAAAATCCAAAAATGTCTATGTCATACATGTATAAGTTATATTTGGTTATATTGTCCAGTATAAGCTTTTTCATTGTAAATAATAGTTTGTTAATTGTAAAATACATGAAGAATTTAATTTCAGTTATATATTATGCTATTTGAATTTTGTTGTGTTAAACCTTCAATGAGAGGAACGTGGTACATAAAAGTAGGACGTAAAACTCCATTCAGTCCATTTCTGAATGAGAGGAATTCTCGCAGATGTCTGGATCTCTATATGTGATGTCTTAATTGTGACTACTAGTGAGGATCTCGTTTCGGGTCTCATGCAAACAATTAAAAAGATTTGATTTGGGCAGAACTGAAACTATCACTGCTGTCACTCTAAGAATGGGTGCTAACAGGTAACAGAGGAGAGTTTGGAAGGATTCAAGAAATTAAGGTTGGACTCCTTGCATCTGATGCCGTTCCGGACAGTAATCTCGTTGTCGGCTTTCAACGTCCGCCTTTAGAGAATGATTTGGAGACATCCTACCCGCTCCTGCCCAGCAAGAGAGGTATAAAAGATAATTCACCCAGAAGAGTCCATAGGGTTATTTTCTTTATGCTTACCCAAATTTCTATTCAACATCTAAACAGATTACAGGGAGAGAACATCCAATATGTCCCCATAAACTAATATTTTTGGTTCTGTATCTTAGTCGGTTAGAGCTTTGTTTTTCGTCGAACATATGGTGGTTTTGGGTTCTTAACACATTTTCTCATATTCCGGTCGACCAAGCTGTAAATAGTTACAGATAATTTGAAAAGATCAATGCCAAGGTAGCAAGGATCATCCGGATTCCCTCTTCTCTTGATTCTGTATCGTATTTTACGTGTGTCCGATGATAATGGACTGATCTCTTGGTCAGCCCCATCCCCACCCTCATGGTCCTGCAAATTAAACTATGTGCATGTGTTTTATCTCGTCTGGCAATCAAACGTTTGACTAGAGAACAAACTGGGCAGATTCCGAAAGGTGTGACTGTGAAATACTCAGAAGTACAATCGCACAATTCCTCCAACTTTAGCAATTTCTTTTCCTATTTAGATGTCTTTTTTATGGCAGTGTCTCAGGAAAGGACGACTCATCTTCTAAACTTTCAAACGTGGATAATTCTGGAATTTGTGAAGGCTAAAATGTCGACGGTGAGTTGTAAAATGAAATGAATGGAGTTTTACGTCCTATTTTTCTGCACCATTTGGACTTATGAAGACGGGCAACGCCATGCAGGGTACAATGAGGGTAATTTTGCCAGGACAGCGGCATTAGCCTGCTCTTTTTCGATTTCCAACTGTCGAGGGATCTTAAACGTGCACAGCCTGTGGCACACGGGGCCTCGGTTTATAGTCTCATCCGAACGACTAAACACTATGACTGATTGGCTTTGCTACAAAATTATGATTGGTAAAAAAATAACCAGCGATAAAATGTGAAAATTGAATTTATTATCAATTGGAAGTTATTTCATATTTTGTAGTTGACGACTGGACAGTCATGAATCAACGTTAATTCAGACTGGTCATACATAGTCTATTGACAGACGTTCCATGTTTCCCTCGGAAATTTAATCAGTTTTGTACTTTAACAAGGGAAATAATAGAAAATGCGATAATTATTTTGTAGATTAACTTCGAGAAAGGCTTTCCCAACCAAAATGTCACGATTAAAAAATAGACAGACGCAAATCTGGTCCCACATTAATTGTGGAATGTGACCAACTGAAAATACTTGTAAGAATAGAAAAAAATAATTATGACAAAGAGGCATTGATAGCACGATATGTGATAAGTGAACATAATATTTCAATACAAAATTACAATACATGAATATTTACAATATACAATTTTAAAATTCATGCAACGATCAATAAGAAAAGACAATCCTTGTCGAAGATCACACATGACCGGCTTTATTCCAAATCGACAGATTCGCAAAGTCGGGGCTATGTACTATTCAATCTGAAACATTTTCGGCTATGTTGATATCGATCAACGTAAAGGAAATCGATATCTTGATTGACATACGTAGGCCACAAGTTTGCCCTCTTGGAAAAGGCGTATGTAGGCCTACTTTCCTTTCCTTTTGCATTCTTAAGTTTAAAGTTTAACTTGCTCGTTGAATTGAAATTTGGCATCTTTTTGTCCAGTTTAGAATATTAAGAATATATTTCACACCCGGTTTACATCCATAAGAATATAAGCTCAGCTTAACGTGTGGTATTTGGTGAGGTTTTAAACTATTTAGATAGTGACTACACACTCTGCGCACTTCCAGTACATCAAATTCAACTGCAGCACAATATAAACCTAAAAAATAAAAAAAGAATTACCTGACTTGTTACTGGATTATATACCACACCTATAATTTTCCTCTGTTTTTGAAATATATCTCAGTATGATTGTATAAAACTTGATAAAGGTTAATGCATATCGCTGAAAATCTACTCCGTAAACATTGGAACATGTATAATTTTTTACTTACCTACTATATTTCGAGTTGTTAATCGCAATTTACCAGAATGTAGAAAGTCTATCAATTTTTGTATAACATTGGGATGATAATCAGGTAACATAACTCTTGCTTTACTAGCGTTTGGTGGTCTTTTACTACCAGTTTTTTCTCTTTTGTTATCAAGTAACATCTGATAAAGCACTCTGAAAAAGAGGGGATTAAATAGAAGTGGGCTTTAGTACCTATAGCAAGATATGAGTATTCTGTGGTCAGACGGCCAATGGAATGTCATTCAAATAATCTTCATCATATTTCAACTTTATCATCCACAATGCAGTACCAACAAGATGTAGTTGTAATTTTAAAGCAGGGAAGTATAATATGAAACGCTTCCGAATGATTTAATCAACATCTTATGGAGCCATTATCAATATGATATAATATTTGATAGCTATACAGATCATGCTTGATTCTGGCATTAGTTTTTATCCCTTAAAAGTTCATGACACGTTTCAAATTTGCAGACAAGCTCGCTCGAAATATGCCAACCCAGGCAAAATAATTATAACTAATGCGCTTTTCCTCACCTTGACTGGGAGATGATTATTGATTTGACGGCAAACACTGGCATTTTATTTTTACCCACAAGAAAAATAACATCACATAATTCAGGTAACAAGGTAACGACTGCTGGTTGTTTTTCTTTAAATACCATTACTTGACGTTTCTCAGGAAAATTGGTTTTAAAATGAGAAATTAGTAGTAAGTCTGTTTCACTATTAGTAACTACACTATCAACAATGTCATCTGAAACATAAAGGTACAACGTATTATCATCAAGAAAATCCACATAGGCTGAGCATAGTCATCAATGTGGTTTTCTATAGGTACTCATCAAGATTGTTTTCTACAGGCTATAAGTATGGTCCTCATGGTGGTTTTCGAAAGGTTTAGTATGGTCATCAAAGTGGTTTTCAATAGGCTATAAGTATGGTCATCATAGTGGTTTTCTAAAGGTTAAGAATGGTCATCATAGTGGTTTTCTAAAGGTTAAGAATGGTCATCAATGTGGTTTACAATAGGCTATAAGTATTGTCATCGAGGTGGTTGGCTATAGGTTATAATAAGTATGGTCATCAAGGTGGTTTTCTATAGGCTACGAATGGTCATCATGGTGGTTTTCTAAAGGTTAAGTATGGTCATCAATGTGGTTTACAATAGGCTATAAGTATTGTCATCGAGGTGGTTGGCTATAGGCTATAAGGTACGGCCATCAGGGTAATTTTCTGGTGGTCATCTAGGTGGTTTTCTATAGGCACTGCCATAAAGGTGTTTTATATAGCTTTGATAGAAATGTCCAAGACAAGAAAACATTTTAAATGACTTAACGATTTCGTTATTACCCAACAAATGTGTCGAGTGATAATGACTATAGCTGATGTATCAGTTTAACTTTTATCAAATGAAACTAATGAAATAAACGCTATCTTTTATAATAAAAAGGAAAGAAAATGAGTGTAATTTACCGTTATTTAAGTAATCAGCCTGGAGTAAAGGAATTTTACTTTCTTCTGAATTCATGATGATTTTCAATTTATTTTCTGTGATGACACCCGTCTAGACACTGTCTCTTGCCAATCTGAAGTTACCTCTACAAACACGTTTTTCAAACGCCCTAGGGATTATAATTGAATATTGATCCGACTCTTCAAACAACAGATTAATGTGAACGCTTTAGATATGACTACAAGATGGTTTGATTCAGATAGAAGGCTGATGTTTTATCCTATGAACACACCAATCCCAATCCAAGCTAATCTACAAATTGTAATAAGAATTACGTGACTTCACTTTGATCACCTATGTTGTTAGAGCGTTTCATACTTTTTTAAGCATATACCGTCTGTAAGGAAAGGAGTTGTCGATGTAGCCGGCTTTGGTTATAGCGAGTATTATTTTTAACTTTCTAACGCGGAATTCGGTTGATACAGCCATTTAATATTTATTGAATGTTTGGACAAATTCATGCAAATTGTAGAATTAGAGGAGTTGATGCCTTTAATCTTCCAATAAAAACGGGTATGAACTAGTGTTGTGACAAAACCTACATGGCTTCTAATTGATGGTAAAGGTGGGAATAGATGAGGTACGATGTCCGTCCGTCCGTCAACATTTGCTTGTAAACGCTCTAAAAACTAGATTTTTGATGGAATCAAATGAAATTCGGTATGTGTATGCATGTTCATAAAACGATGATCAAGTTCGATCGTTTCGACCGTTAGAAGCAGAGTTATTGCCCTTGCCCCAAAATCTTGAATCTGCTAGTACTCTCTTAGTTTTCAACCGATTTTGATGAACTTAAAATGGATGTTTCGTTTTTACCATCCGCATGCCGTGAAGGGCGTATATGGCTGTGGCCCACTATCTTTCCATTTGTGTTGGTATCAATTATCCCGAACCGTACACCGCACTGGACACCACACCTCGTTTATTCGCGGCTTAACGATGTTGAAATGTTTTGTTTCTTTAATTACATATATTTCTTTGCTTTTCACTTAATTCAAATCAACCATAGTGTGTTAATTGTACCTCTTATTTTAATCTTTTAACAGTCAAAAATTACATTAAAGGTTGGGTGAATACAAAACTCAATGTATATCTTATTTTTTTAAGTATTTAAAGATCCACGGCAATTTCCGTAAAGCTGATGTTGCAGAGCCCTTTCACGGTAGACCGCTTGTCTGTGGCTCTGTAACGAACACATTGCGTGTTATGCAATGTTATGAGAAATCATCACAGCAAAATATTCCTTAGATTTATTGCTTTTGTTTTATGAAACCCGTTCAACTTAATTTTTTTCTCTATTTAACATTAACATATTTTTTACTAAACAAGATTGAATGGATTATTTTCTCTTTAAGAGGAGTCATATTGAATTAAGAAATAGTGGCATATATTTTATTTTGTTTTGGTTGTGGTTTATGATCTTTGTTCTTGAAAGCGTGTTCCTTGTTCGCGAAGCTACAGGCCCAGTAAAAAATGTGAGAGAATAATAAGTTAGTTCCGAGTGTTGATGGTTGTTGTTCTGTTAGATGTAACGATTCAAACAAAGCTGTAATAACCCACAATGGCTAAAAGTCATACCGTAAAGAGACATAAGCTTGGAACAATGGTACTATACTGTGGTCAGAATGGATAAATCATATGATTAACAGCTTAACTAATTGTATGAAGAAAGGCATGTTGTAAACAAACACTGTATCATTATTATCTTTATCAGATTTATATATCAGATTATCTTTAAGCACAGATATCAATATTTTAACATGAACCTGTTTCAATTTGACCTCTTGAAACGGAAACGGATACTACTTTAACAAAGGTGTGAATTATGAGAGGTGTGTTGTTTATATACAATTACTTGGCAGTGATTTTCAACCTCAGTGTGATCATTCCCTCGGAAGAATTCTTCCAAATTTATTCCTCCTCAAAATAAATCGTTGAAACATATTTCACTCGGAAAATGTATTCAACGATTAAGCCGGTCTATCACTATACGCAACAGAATCACTCTTTAATTCAATAACTAAGTAATAATCGAAAAGTTAAAAGTAATTTTTGAAAAAGGCTTAATTCTTTTCAGCGTTTTTCAATAATCACTTAGTTGTATGGGTTTATGCGATAATAAAGGGATTCTGTTGTGAATCCATGGCACCATATAAGTTTACTGATGAATATATACTGTTATTGGCCAATTAAGAGAATTAAAATTATCTGGTCATTCCATGAGGTAGTATTCCTTTAAGTCATAATCTGATGTCTGGTTAGACGTACCAAATCAAATGGTTTGTACTCTATATAGTTTCAATTCCTGGCTCCAGGTTAAGCTTCCACCTCGTTGCTTGTGATACATGTAGTCAAATTAACTATGGTTGTCTTTCAATCACTGACATGGAATCAAGTCTAAGAGAGTAAACTGGTCTATTATTATAGTGTAATGGATCAATTATTTCTGAAAGAGCAGTATGTTATACTGGTACAGATTTCGGCACTTTGACTTTCTTATGAGTTTTCTCAACCATCTATCAATTTGACAAGTAATCAAGACCCACCAAATAGATAAAATCGCAGTTGAAGCTTGAGTGAAATTGTACTTGTCTTCCGGAAATCTCTACGTTTTAAAATGCTTTGGCAAAGTAATAATGTTGCTATTGCTGTTCAAACCACACTTCCTTACTAAGACCATGTCAAAACCCGTATTCGTAAAACGATGTTCTACGAGGCTACCAAAATTAAGGTGCGCATGTTGTCTATCTTCCACAAGTTCGAACTCAACTGGAAATGCAGACGTTTCGTGTCGTGATGGATTGTTACTACACTTGTCAACCATGATCTCAAGAAATTCCCATTTTAGCATCTTCAGTCAAATTGTAACCCACCTGTTGATAACAAACGTCAAAGCACATCAAATTTTATTATGTTATATTTTAACACAGATATAGGTGATTCGACGCCAAATTTTTTATTTTGAAAAGGAGTATGAGTATTGAGCTGGCAAAATGAATATTCAGACAACTGTAATCTTCATCGGGATATTGCAACTATAGCACCTTGTAGATAGCTTTGTATTTCATCATCAATCATTAGGTCAATGATACGTATTAAATATGCTAGCATCTGAAAATTAGTCTATCAAACCTGGTATGACGTGATACAAGAGGGCGTTCATTAGTTTGTATTTTATCACCCAGTCTGGTATTAAACCCAATGCGAAATTGTGAAATCTGTGTAACTATGGCACTTGTCACGCTATAGGACAAGACAATTGTTTATACCGTAGACGTTTTCTATCATTTCAACAACAACCTACACTTTGTTCTTCACCTTTTACTTAAATACTACCCAATGATGACAACATCTATGAATCAACTCATAGAAATGTCTTTTATCTTGACCTTGAAGATCTTTGCTTTACGACGGGAATCATCATGGAAGAGAGTGCAGCAATAGTTGGGTCTAAAATTTACTCTGTTATAGTTCTAACTTTTGAGCGATTAGGTGCCGTGAATTCTGATGCCTGTTTCATTGGTACCGTGAGTCCGCTTTCACCCCTAGTCAGTGGACAAACTAACTGGAATTTTTTTATCAGATCTATTACTATAGTCAGATGTGGGAACCGAGCAATGGTTGAGTTACCCTTCTTGAACAAACTATGATGATTTGTGCATTAACCTTGCTTAATTTTCAGACAGGAAACGTGGATGCATATTATAATGTACATTATTTTCAAAAAATCAGACGAAAGTTACAGTTGCCTTAAAATGCATTGCCACAGTTGCAAAAAAGATGTCTTCTTGTATTTAAAATAATGAAACAGAGTTACGTCTTACTGTTTTTTTCTGCAGTGTTCAGTGGGAAAGATTTTGCTGTTAAGGGATCTTGCTTAGAATGTATGTGACATGGTTTATTGTCCAATCTAAACAACCAGAAGCTATTTCAAAAACATCCCAGATTACTAACAGCTCTTTGTATTCCGGTCAATCATACCATCTGATATTCATAAGGAGAAGAATCTATACATCAACAGTTTATTATTATCTAATAAGTATAGCGTACAGCCATTATTATAGTAACAATTATTTATAAATTATTGTGATATTTTGTCAAGAGTTGAATTCAAATGACATGTTTGAGAACATACATGCATATTGATGCATGTTTAATATACTTGTAAATTATTCAATTTTCATGACATTAAAATTTTCCTGCCCATTGACAAAAATAAAATACTTCGAATTAATGGATTAAAAAATCATAAAATTTTGTGTGTTCTCTCAAGTATTTGAATTCTCAGCTTGACAAATTTATTGATATGTTCGGATGTATAGTAGGTTTCTTTCGGATTCACTGAAGCGACGTTGTTCGATGAATGACACTGACACGTATTAGAAACCATTTCAAGGATCCAACATTTGCAAATTTGCAAAATGCTAGCCCGTTTACTAGTTATTTTGAAATAGGGAAACTGATTAAATATCTTATGGGTGTTATGAACATCCTTGTAGCAGCCTTTGTTGGAATGTTTGTTTGCATTTTAAAATATGTCCTAATAACACGTAATAGCTTGGAAATAACAGGCTGATATAACATTCCGTTTATGTTGAATATCTTTTAAATCTTCTTCCTTGGCGCCGAAATCTTTCGCAGTTTCGTATGCAACATCCATCAATCTGTGTAGAAGTTTATTGGCCATCTCTAATTCCCGCGATAATTCCTATAAGTAAAAATGGAAAATTAAAATTAATAGAGAGTTGTTTTAAGTAGTAATCTGAATAAAGGAATAATGATATAGTTATGGAATATTAGATACCAGACAAGAAAATAAATAAATTGTTTACATTAATATGATATTTTGAGGCTAAAAAAGTCACAAAAATCATCTACAGAATACGAAAGATAAAACTGTAATCTAAGCCTTATCCCACATGACCAATATCGCTCAGTTATACTTGTTTATTATCTATTCAAAAGATATCTGATGTAGCATCAATGATATTTGTAACCTTTAAAAGGCCATGAGT